AGTTACTCTCCAGGCCTTTAGCCATCTCAAGCAAACCCAGCCACTTTTCCCAGAGTGTTGTTACAATCCTGCCCAGTCCCTGGTCACTTCCCTTGCATAACCTCATCAGCTCTCTTGAGACCTGCCTCAGCTTCACAAGATCTTCTTCAGCTGAGTCAATGCTGGAGACTAAAATCTTGAGGGAAAAATAAATAAACAAGCAAATAAAGCAAGATGGTCTATCAGAAATATTAATGAAGCATTCAGTGACACGATTATGATCCTCCATTAAACTGGCAATTGCACCACTGAGCTGATTAAATACATTTCTCATGAGGCAATTCTATATTGGCTATGATTGCAGAGAAAACAGAGTAAATAAAGCAACCAAAACAAACAGAGGAACAGCGTGCGCAAACAACTATATTGCTTCTACCTCCTTCTGGTTATTTGAAAGGGAAAAGAAACCAGCTGGAGCCACAGATACATAATAGAAAGCGTCTGTAATATAACTACTGTAAGAAAGATAGAAAAAAAGAGATTAATTACACCAGGCATAGGGAAAAGCAACAAGATGGTCCTGAGAGGGGAAGGAAGAAATTCTGATTCTCCCACCTCAGGGAAAACAGCAAGATTATAAACGTGAATGGCCCTGGTCCTGCAAAGAAACAGTGAAGGATGTGTACATAAATGCAGTATCTTAATCACAGATAGCATTAGCTCTCCACAGACAAAATGTATATTCATTTTACATGACCTGTCATAATCCTGAATATTTATGTGTATATAAATAAATTCTGTGCTTTTATACATAAGTAAATGCAGGATAAAGAACTGTACTTCTTTCTACTCTGATATCATACACTGATTAGCCCAGTTACCTCATTGTTTTGCAAGTGTTTGAAAGAACTTTAGAGCCCTTTACCTTGCTTTCTTCTAAATGTTCCAAAGCTTCTTTATAAGAGATGGGGACTTGGGTCAAAGACTGTGCAAGCACCTTTTCCAGTTTGTTGAGATCATCACACACTTTATCTTTGGTTTCTGTATAGCTTTTGTGCTTGTCAAAATACCTGTAGGAAACAATTAACAGATCAATTAAAAATTCTTGTGGTTACTCCTCTACAATGCTGACTAGAATTAAAAAAAGAACCCAAAACTTCTAAACAAGTAATCTTGATTATGCTTTTGCAAGTTGTTTTAGAACAGCATTTATTATTAGCATTTCAATTTCATTATCTGAGATATATTAGAGATTCAGGTATAAAATGCCAGCGGAAAAGAAATACAGGCATGTATATTCATACATAAGCCACAGAGTTGCTGCAGGAGTTCTGTCTTGATCCTAATATCTACATCTCTGTCCTCCTCAGACATGCCCAAAATGAGCTCCCAGTTTTTAGAAAACACTCTGTTTGTCCCTACAATGTGTGATCTGTAGGACTGAAAATTATTATTTCTATATATTATCACCTTTTCTCTATTTCCAAACTCTTTATAGTCATATGATGCTTTCTATATGAAAAGTGGTTTTAAGTTTATGCTCAGTAGAATCAGAAGCACTAGATAACCAGCAAGTAATTTAAAAGTCCTTTATTCCCACCAAATTATTTGATATATGTATCTGAAGGCACTTTGAACCTCTTCTGCACATGTTTCTGAAGGGAACAGACTATGGCCAGTGTCTTGTTTGTCTTGATATTTTTGAGCCATATGAGACACCCATTAGAGCTTCACCAGCACTAAACTACAGAGTGTGGAAATATGCTGTCTTCTTATTCCAGCCCCTTATCACACTCAGTCCAGCACCAGATGTATTTTCTGAAATACGTTTAAAGGGAAAGTATTGTAAACTGTTAGCAATATGCCTACTGGCTGAAATTTTTCCTTCCTTACTTTATCACCTAGAGACAAGAGAGTGCTGCTTACAGTGCTTTCTACTAAATTACCAGGTTCTATCAGAGAAGAAGCAAGACTGAATTTATTACCAGACACCTTCCTTATAGTAACGAACATGACCTAGCAAGATCTCTTAAACCTACCTCTGCTCATCACCATCCTTTCTTTCAGCCTTCTCCTTCAGTGTCAGATTTTTATTGGCTAGTTCTCTAAAATCATTTTCCAGATGCATTCTATCTTCTGGTTTCACTATGTTTTTCAGCTTGGAGTACAGATTTTCCATGTCAGCCTTTGCAGAGTCAAACTCTTCTTGTCTCCATTGTGGGATTTGATGGGTCTCTTCGAAACCACCAGGCTCTGCTGTGGCAGAGCAAATTCTAGCTTCGTAGTTGCTGAGGAGTTCAACAGCTCTCTGAAAAGCCTTGGCATAAAGCTCACCAGTCTCATGGGCTGCACTCAGTTCACTCTGGAAGTGGCGAAAATAAAGACAGAAGGAATAATGAGGAAAACTGCCGTGCAACTTCTGATTGTCCCCTGGCCTTCTCACGATTTGACACGTGACTTGAGACCACGTGGAAGTGAGCTGAGAAGGGGAGGAAGCACAGGGAAGGCATCCCCTGTGCTGCAGTCCATGGGCTGGATGCCCCAGGCTGAAGCGACAGTGAATGCAAGGGAACTGCCTCTATCGAAAAATTCCAGGGAGAAGGATGGCAAGGACAAACTGATGGTGAAAACACTGAGCATCCCAGATTTTCTCTATTTACACTAAAAACAGAGATTTCTTTCTTAACATCGGTATCAGTACTGAAAAGGTAAAATAAGTACCAAAAACAATACAGCGTGACCTGTTCCCAACATTTCCTCAAGTCAATACAACACAAGCTTTTCTCTCCTTCTCTTTACCGTTTTTTTTCCAGTACTAATCCCTCATGATTATAATCAAACTGAACAAAATACACTTCTTTGCATCTTCAGTTTCTTGTAATGCTTCCAGTCATACACATCAATGCAAAGAAGATACCGGTCCAATTCAGTTATTAGACTAAACAGAAGATGTAAGTCATGAAAACATAAACATGACAGTCATGGATGCCTAACCAATATCTTGGGAAAACACATATGGTTAGAGCTTGCTTTCATTAAACATACTTACAATACGGGCTGCAATGTCTGTCTTCAATTGTATTTCATGATCTTGCAGTGTCTCTAATTTTGCTTCTATATCAGCTGCAAGAGACTTATCTTCTTGATTTTTCCTCTCTTTTTGCATTATACACTTAATAGCAGAAAATACTGCTGGCACCATATTTTGAATTGCTTCCCATCGCATCTTTTCGTACTGTATCATCTTCATGTCTACCAAAAGTGGTTTCTGGAGCTCTAATTGGAAATGCTTTATGGTGTGGAGTATATGTTCTACTTCACTCTGGATATCGTCCTTCTTCACACACTGGAGACCAGAGAGCATGTTTTGGAGAAATTGATTCAGTCCTTCAACATCTTTTTCCAGGCTCTTGATTTCTTGCATCTTAAATTCTTTGAATTGTGTATCAAATACCTCATTTTCATTTATTTGACTTGCTACCTCCTGGGTTAAGTTCATGATTTGTTGAATTGTCTGAAGTAGAATCTGTGCGCCTATAAGATTCTCAGCAGGAGAAGAGCTAGGACTATCATTTAGTATATTAGCTTCTCTTCTTGTATGAGATGTCATAGTCTGGATTTCATTTACCAATACTTGAAGCTTATCACATTCCCTAAGAACATCATCAAAGAGCATTATCTTCTTTTCAATTTTCTTTTTAATCTTTAAAAACTGAGTTTTCAATTGATCAAGCTGCAGTGAGTCCCAATTTAGACCTATGCATTCAAATATTTCTTTATACTTCATTGTTTGTGAGAAATCAGACTGAAAAGCTAACACTTTTTCTCTAAGTGCTTTGCATTTATCCTTAGCATCCTGCTTGACATCTAATAATTCATTTCCCAGGTTCATTTCATCACGCTGTAGATCATTAAGATCTTGCTGTAATGAAGTTATTCTTTCAGATAATTCTCTGTAAATAGCTACCTTTTTTTCCACTTCATGACACTTATTCTGAATTTGCCTCTGTGTTTTCTTTGCTCTATTCTTCAAACTTCTTAACTGGTCAATCAGAAACAATTTTTCAGACAAGCTCAGTTCCCCAGCTGTAGCCTGGCTCTCTTGACAATGGGATGAGACAAGTCCTTCTATTTCCTGCGTTTCCTTTAAAATTTCCTTCAAAATGGCTTGCTGATGGCTTAATTCTGACCACGTGCTGGTTTGGTTCACAGCAGGCCTGGCAAGTGTCTCCGCATCTCGCAGCTGACCATGAACTTTTTCTACTTCTGCAATAAGCTTTTGCCTCTCCTCCAGCTGGAGCTCTAATTGCTGTAATCTTTGAGCTGACTTTAGGACAAGAGCCTTGTAGGAATTCTGCAATGCTTGTAGAAGGAAGGTCATATCAGTGATCTCTTCTGGCTTTAAGCTGGAACCGATGTGCTGAAGCTCTTCATCCAGCGACGCGATCACCGGCTCTCTGCCTAGGACCTCTGTCCTCATCCGCTGACAATTTCTGATTTGTGATTTAACCTCATCGGGGAAAAGTGCTGCTTTCTGATCAAGGAACGACAGTGAATCTTTGACCCAGGAAATATTCTCTTTCAGCCTCCTTGTCATTTCATTTTTCTTGAGAGCAGGACTAAGGAGCCTAACATCTGCTTGAGGAGTTTGATGCTCACATAATGCTTCCAATTTGCTCTGCAAATCCTGTATGGAATTTTCCAAAGTTATCTTTTCTTGTTCACTCCATATTCTTTTCATCTGCAGTTCAATCCTCCTTTTTAATAGAAAAAGACCATGCTTAATGTCCTGTAGCTCTGTGGTCCAAAGCACAGGGTATTTGGCTTTTTCTCCAGCTGAGGTACCTGACTCTCCTTGTAAGTACTGCTCTTGTATCAGTCTCTGAATATCCTGTGCTTTACTCATAAGCAGGTTAAACTCATTGATTTCTGCCATGACTTGATCATGTTTCTTTTGCACTGCTTGTTCCATGTGTTGCCACCATAGCTCCAGTTGCCTCATCTGGCTCTCTGTTAACACTTTATCCATGCAAAAAATATCTAAAAGACAGGCTAGAGACATTTTTAAAAGAAAACTGCACACCAGAAAATGGTTCATTTAATTACATGCATCTCTCAATGTTCTCTCACCATTATTTTATGCAATCTTTACAGTATAGTTATTTCTTGCTTATGTTTGTAACATTATTTGCAGGTATCTCTGGTCTTTCTAATTTAGATTGTCTAAAAGAGCAGTAGATACTAATATAACACGTTATTTACTAAGGGACTGTAGCACCTCTTTAAAGTTATAACAAATAAACATTAAAACATCAACAATAATGTTAGATCAGTTTTAAGTGAACTAACAACATTTTACAGCTTGGTTTAAAAGGAAGAGAAAGCTTATTTAAAAGAATAACTTCAAAAATTCCCCTTCGTTCAGAACAAATTAGGAGTTTATCAACTTTTCTTGCACATCCAGAGTATTTTAAACACCCATATAAAATACTTTTAACAGCCAGATTTTATTCTCTTTGCTGTAAAATTAACAATTGTATAAATCATTTTAAAGCCTTTCAAACTGATGTGACTCATTATTACGATTAAGAAGTTCCTGCCGTGCTTTGAAGGCTAATCTATAAAAGACACTGAATATTTCATGTACATTGGTTACCCTTGAATTGATACTGCAGACTCACTTATTGCCACGGAATGCAGCATTCCTTCTTTTAAATAGTTAAGGTTTTCAGAGTAATGAGACTTTTCACTTGGCAACAAATAAGAATTTATGAGTCCTTCCTGAAAGGAAGGGCTGAAAAAAACTAGTGCTCCACTAGTTTATTCATCTTTTAAAAAATTAGCACTTCACATCTACCATGTTTTTGAAAAAATGTTTTAGTATGGCATTTACCTAAGGTTTTTAGCACAGTATCCATCCTTTTTGTTCATCAAAAAAAAAAGGTGTTGCTAGAGAGTAGCATAGAACCATCGGTAGCACTTCTGTTTAAGGCTGCTGAAGTACCTTAGGTGCAGTGTTAGTACCAACTTACAAACCTATTTGAGTTCTCCTGTCACCTAATGTTATTGGGATGGATATGTCATCACTGAGATGGATAACATCATATTCCTATCTCAACATGATTGAAGTTTGGCAGGAAAAATTCAGTCTAGCTTAGCTACACTCATAACATTAACTTAAGACCCATATTTGCTTTGCAATGTTAACAAAACCTTACTTACGTTTTTATGTTATCTTTTTCTGTTGACAAATTTTTCATTGAGGATTGAGCAGCAGAAAGATTTTTCTGGTACTCATTAACTAAACAGTACTGTTGTTGCTTCATTGCCTTCACAGCATCTAGCTCCCGAAGCAGCCTGTCCCAGCAGGGCACCGCGGGCTCTGCAGTTTGCAGTTCTGCTCTGCTCGATCCAGTTGCGCTGGGGGAGGCCTCTTGATTCAGACACAAAGATTTTGCTTTCCATGTCTCCAGTTCTGTGTGTAAATTCTACAAACAAACCCACCATGGAAAGTGGATCATAAGAGGATCTTAATCACTTTCGGCTTAATCATCAAGAGGATCTTAATCACTTTTGGCTTAATCATCAAGTATAGCTAAATAGTGCTACACCTACAAACTTGCTTGTATGGTCACATGTGAGCAAACGCACGTTTGTGCACACTGGGGAAACACATGTGCAGTCACAGGTGTATGTACTACTGCATCTCAGAAGAGATGTATGAAAGACAGTATAGAAATGTTTGTACTAAAGTACACTGTGTGCAGATTAACTGTTGCACAAACTGCCTAATCACAGTCAAACCTAGATAAGACTGTACACAACAATTCTGCTCTGCCTGAGCGAGTCCTACTTCTGTGAGGTACACAGAAGTAGGACTGTGTTCTACATCACTGCATTAACAGCAGGAAACCTTTGCTGTTTCTCACCTCCAGCTCTTTCAGTTGTTCATTTATGAGCACAATATCCAGTTCAGCCACTTCATTTTTCAGCTCGTTAACCCTTTTTTCCTCCTCCAAATATTCACTATTTACATGTACTCGGGGAAATAGTTCCTTCTGAAGAATCACGTCGGTATCTGTGTGCTACAATGAGAAACAGAATTGTTATTTCTGAAGGATGCATAAAGCCACAAATTTTCTGGCTGCGACATTTCCCCCTTGCTTCATATGTTGCAGCTGTGCCCAAATCCTGTGGTGGCTTCAGCCACAACCTCTGTGTGTCCCTCAGACACGACCTCCCATCTCTGCGGACACCCCGGCCTCTTGCCAGCACAGTACAGGCAGCAGGGAAACCTCTGCCCATCCCTGCAAGCCTGAAAGTCAGACGTCCCCACTTTCAAGTGACATCCTCCACACACCCACATCTAGCCTTGCTCAGCCCATTCCCAGGTCTCTCTGTCTTCCCTTCCTCCACATACACACTCATCCCTTAAGTTCCCCTCACACCTTCATCCCTACTGCCTTGATATCCCGCTGCTTCCTTTGTTCTCTCTCTGTGGATCATGAGCTACCCAGACTAGCATGCGCCTGCTTCCAATGCTGGACACTACTGGAAAAGAATAATTCCAATTATTCAAACTCTTCCGGATACTTTCAGTCTGAACTGAAGGGGTCTACTCATGAAACAGTTAATCAGAGAAATTTTCCATTTCTCTGTATACACATGAGATTTCATCTTAAGAGACTTTGGAGGGCCATAAAATTGAAGTATAGAAACTCAGTTAGCAATTACAGTGTGAGAAGGAAATCTACTTTACCATATTGAAACATAAGCACATGAGAATGTAAAGAAAAGTAAGTGGTTGGACAGTAACGTGTGTTACCTCACACACAGAAACCAGGGGTTTGGATTCCAGACCATCCTTCTCCACTGGTACAGATTTTGGTACATGACTCTTCTGGCCCACCCTTTGCTGAAGCTGCTGCACTTCTCTACATGACTGATCCTTGAAATCATCAGGTTTCTCCTTTTGGTGCAGAGGACATAAAAGAAACAAGCAACCAAGAAGTCCTAATCAAACATACTGAGCAGTAATTGCAATGCTTCAGATGACAAAGGTATGCAGCCTACAATTACAGGTAAATGAGGAAGAATAAAATTACATCTCATAAATTTATCACGGGAAAGGTTATGGCAAAGGAAACCCTTTAGAAGAAGCAGTACTGTAATTTTGTTATATTTCTTAGAAAAATTGTAGATTGCAAACAATCCTCCTCTGACCTACACTTTTTATGTTTCATTATTCTAAGCATGGGCTTGGGACTTTGTATCCCTGTTGTTCATTGTCCTGAATACATTTTAGAAAAGGCTTAGTTTATTCCTGAGGCCTCAATCTATTACTTGCAGTGTAGACAGAGAGTCTGTGGCTAGAGACCCTGTTGACTCCAGGCAGGATATTCCCCTGGGCAGCTCTGGGATTTGCTGTATTTACATGCTGAGGCATTTGCAGAGTTATTTAACTGTAATTTCAGTCTGTAAGTTCAGTAAGAACTGTAAGTTCTGCTTGAGCTTGTTTACCATGTGGGGACAGATGAAATGAAACAGCCACCTACACAAAATAAGGAATGACAAATACAGCACGTCCACAGAGGAATGCAGAGCATTTGGGACTTATCTGTGCTGAGCCAGCACCTGCAAGTCAGCTAGGACATGTATTGAAAGCGGCCACTTGCAATCTAAAATGAGTTAATTTACTCTGCTTCTCAGCACGTTCACGAGCCCACACTGTGCTCCATCTTTTCACTCAAAACACTTCTTTCATTCTCAGCTAGTTTGTAAAAGCTGAGGGTCTGAGGAGAGTCTGGCTGCCTTCTCTGTAAATGCCCCCTCAGGGAGGGGATAGTGGCAATTAGATCCTCCATTACCCTTTCCTTCTCCAAAGACAACCTAACATTTCTCAGGCTCTTCACATACATCATGTGCTCCAGCTTCTAACCATCTGGTTTGTCAAAACTCTTTTTGTACCACAGGGCACAAAACTGGATGGAGAATTTCAAATGCAGCTTCACGCATGTAGGGTAAATATGTAAATAAGAATGTAAATAAATGAAAGAGACATAAGCAAAACATTAGTGTTCAAGGAAAATGGTAAAAAGACATGATGATACAGTCAAGTGACTTGGGATGCAATGTCTTCAGCAAATCACTTTGTAGCAGACCACGGTAATGAAGTAATTCCATCCATAGTAATTATAAGTGTACGGGAAAGGATTCAGCGTTAAGCACATACTGAAAACACAATTGTAACTAAGCTGTCAACTTCAGTCAGTCTGTATAAGCTCTCATCCTGTTACCTCCACTGCACTTGTTTCCATTCTTGTTTCATCACCCTCGGTACCAACAAGATCCTGCTGCCTTTTCCACTCCATGTCACCACCTTGAATAGCAGTGTCCAGAAGGTCCTCTTGGACCCCATCACAGCTGTCCACGCCTTGCCTTTCTTTTTCAGCCTCCTCCTGGTTTGAAAAACACAAGGTGTTTACAAACAACAAAAGTCACAGTACAAAACCAAAGTTTAAAAAGAAACTGCGACTCCACGAGCTATCTGCAGCTTCTACAGATCAGCTTAATGAATGTCGAAAAACACTGAGACAGTGTGAATTTCTTGATGTCCCCCAAAAGGGCAACAAACAGTCCCAGGTTGGTAACCTCTCTTTATATACTTTGTTTCTGGCATTGGCTCACATAATTTATGCTTCCTTTCTTCAGGCTGAACAACAAGGAAAATATGTCTCCGTAGGACTCAATGGATTTTTAGGGAATTGCATATGCATTTCTAGGAAACACACACACACAGATGTGTGTTAGAGGATTTTTGTCAGGTACCTGAACCATCTGGCCCTCTCCATCCTTGCTTTGACAGATAACCTGAAATGAGCTGTCTGGCAATACACTGCTTTCCTCCAAAAGTGAAACATTTGGCTTCTCTTTCTTTGACTCATTCCCATTTACATCTCGATCCTAAAAGAAACAAAGAAAAAAAAATGCTTGTGTGATTGTGTATTTTCTATTGCAATATTAAATATTTGGTGAGAAAAAAAAAACAGAATTTATGGAAACAGGAAATACACTGTGCTTCAGTTCTAGACAGGTCTTACTGGTTTCTGAGAAGCTCTGAAAGTTATAAAACAATAGCAAAACAAAAGGCTAGAGTTCTTTGGCATAAATCTATCTGCAATTTTCACATCTATACCTCTTCTCCCTTTGTGTCCCAACCTTAGATACATATTCTGGTTACATGCAAGAGAAAGCTATACACAGATTAAGTCTGAATAGAAAGTTGTTGTTTTGAATAGACAGTATTGACTTGTTACAGACTTGTTAAAACAACTTCAGGGAGTTCTCCACTTGATTTATATGTGTATGATTTACAGAAGACTTAGTTTCAATAAAAATGGAAAGGATGCCATACACAAAAGGTATTTGAAAGAGAGCTGCCTCTTTAGTCACTGTTGCTGTCAACAAGCACACTCACATTCTGTATTTCCAAGCCTTCCTTTAACTCTGCTGCTTTGGGGCTCTCTTCTACAGCAGCAAGGGTAGCAAAAGTGACCTGCATCTCTCTTTTTGGGTCTGCCTTATCTTCCACCTGTATTTCTTCAGCAATCACATCTTTCAATTCAAGGGCTTCACTGAGAATATTTTCATCCTTTTGCTTGACATTTTCAAGTCTTTTCTCCAGACTCCTATGCTCACTCTGAAGTGTTTCAATCTCATCCTTAATAAACTTCTGTCCTGGTGAAGAAGTGTTTTGTTTAACAGTTTCTGCTAAAACCAAAATCTTCTTTAATGTGTCTTCACATTGACTAAGAGGTGCTTGTTGTTCCTTTAAAAATGAAGAAAACATGTTACTGAAAAATATCTTCACTCAATGTACTTATTGCTAAGATCTGAAATCAATTACTAAATCATAGATATTTGGTCTGAACAGCAATCTGTGTTGAAAAGTTCATGCAGAACTATTTGCTACAGAAAGTCAAATATTTTCCCAGTATTGTAGAGCCATACATTTTTACGAAGAGAAACAGCTGAACATTTGCACTAGGACAATAATAAAACACATGGTGATCTTTTCAAGGTTTTAACAAGTCAACCCTCTCTCCTACTCCTCCTCTTTCACCTGCTGAAGATGTAGCAATTTCTGGAGGAGGAAGAATTTCAGTGATTTGAATCTAAGTTACAATGTCAGCTTTCAGCAGTTCACTATGCTCACACCAGTGAGACTATTCTCAGTTTTGCCAATGTGCAGAAGAATATCTGCTTGGCTTATGAATATCTTACAAATGAATACTTTCGAAGAAGAGTATCTAATTCTGAACTTGGTTCACAGACACTCTCTTTCTGAACTCTGGTAAAATTAAAGACTTTTAAAGATTTTAAAATTAAAGTATTGAAGATCTCTTTCCTCATTATTCTCCAAAGGGGAAAAAAAAAAGATTCAGAAAGCCTGGGTGCTTGGTGCTTGGGCTTGGACAATTTTCCTTTCAGTTTTTCAGTTAGGTTAACAGCAAAGGTCCACTGATTTCAGTAAGAGCACTTTCAGGCCAACAATTATCTTAATAAAAGGGATACCCAACATACCTGTGATTTTCGCTCAGCTGATGTTTCTTCCATTGCTGGACCTCCATAATCAGCGAATTTCTCAGAGACAGTCTTTAGCTCAGTGCTCAAGGCTTTTACCATATCCTGAAACAGCTGGTGCTCTTGAACGTGGCTTTCCAATGTCTGCACTATGTTCTAGAAATCAAGGAGTTTCTCAGGTTAACCCACCATTAGCACACAGAAAGCACAAACCAACCACAGTCTGTCATGGTTCTTCCACACACACGGTGGCACAGAACATTTGCTTATTTCCCATTAAATATCCAGCTAACCACAACTGCACAGGAGAAAACTTCCTTTTTTTCCCCAGCACATACTGGATTATAGCATGAACAAAGCAACATTAGTAGCAGGATGCAGAGGAGTCTGCATTTTATGAAATTATGGTTATAAAAGGGATGTTTCCTCTACAAAATGGATGAGAGATTGGAGGAGGAAGCTCTGTATGTTGCAAGGCACCCTGCTGACTTAAACTGACTGCAACCCATAACAAACAACACCCAGGCAGAGCGACTCATTGTCCCAAAAGGAGAAAAAAGCTCTGTGGCTTGGAGATTACAGCAACAAATGTTTCATGCTATGTAGCTATATAAAATCTGTAAATACAGGTACAATTTTTTAATTTTCACATATGCTTTGGGCTCATTTATTTAAACATTTATTTCTCTGCAAAGTGCAAGGCAGTGAAGCATAAGAGCTTTGGTGCTCTTTACCCGCAGTGAGACAGGGTGAAGAATTCCCTGCCCTTTCACTGAATAATTTTCATCACTCCCAGTTTTACTCATAAACTTGCCAGCTGAATGAGACTATAAGCAATCAGTGAGAACTGCGACCAAACAGGCATCTTCCATCAATAATCTCACAAGGAAAAAGAGCAACGTTCCAACCTGTATCTGGCTGAGCAGACTTTCATGTTGGTGCTTTAATTCCAACCACAACTCCTCTGTGAAGCAGGGATCCGCAGTGTGACACTGTAGATCATCTTCTTGGCTTTTCAATTCATTAAAAACGGTATTTAAGTCTTCTACTTTCTGCAGGAGTTGGGCATAATTTGTCAACTGAGTTTGCTTTTCCTGCAAACCAGGCTGGAGGGCAAAACCTAACTCTTGTTGCTGTTTCCTCAGTTCAGTTAGAGCCAGTCTCAGGCCTTCTTTGCTTCGCTCATATTGCTCCCTGTTGAGCCAAAGTTGCTCTTGAGGGCTAAAAAAAGAATATATAATTATTGTTACTAATAAATTATCTTTTTGTATTTATTAGTTAGAAAATATCCCACTGTGAACATGTCAACCATTACTAGAATTAAATATATTGAAGACTTTTCTTGAAGTTTAAAATTATTGATAAACTTTAAGCTGGAATTTTTGAACTTAGTGTTACTGGTCTAGATTTAGATGCAAGACAAGCGATCCCCTCTTAGACATGCTTTCAATCCTAACCTATAAACCTGTATTTTCTAGCATCTGAGATGTGAGACTCCCACGTTTTTTATTTCTGCTTTCCACTGCAGCAAGAGTTCTGTTTTGAAGCTATATCGTGACTATAATCTGTTTCCCTTAAGAACTTCTGATAACAGTTATCTAAAAGCGAATGTCCTGTAGGAGATAACATCTGTAGGAGATTTTAGGGAAAAACAAAACAAAATGTTTTGTAAATATGACAACAGAAACAGCACATGCAATATGGGTCATGCTACCACAGTCTGGTACCTAGTTTGCTGACCTTGGCATTGGATATTGATTTGCTTGCTTTATTCCTATAGTCCTAGGAACTTAAGGAAAAATTTCTTAACAGTGAGGGTGACAGAGCACTGGAACAGGCTGCCCAGAGAGGTTGTAGAGTCTCCTTCTCTGGAGATCTTCCAAACCCGCTTGGATGCAGTCCTGTGCCACGTGCTCTAGGTGTCCCTGCGTATGCAGGGGGGTTGGACTAGATGATCTCTAGAGGTCCCTTCCAACCCTAAGCATTCTATGATTCTATGATTCTATGATTCTATAAACATGCACATGGCTGCCCTGCAGCTGGACAAGTTGCATCTCTACACCAGAAGCCTGCAGCTATAATCAGGGAGCCAGAAGGCTGTTAACTAACATCCCTATGCTCACATTTAGGGGACTGATAATTTTGTAGATGGAACTTAAATACAAGATTTGTAAATATCTTTATATGTTTGTAAATGCAAACAAGTGCAAATACATAAAGTTTGTGAAGTACAGCTGGATACATATGAAGACAAAAGCGTTTGTGTTTTTTTCCACCCCAAGTGAGATTCAACTTTTTTGGCACCTAACAAATAAAGCAGAGGCTTCTCACATACACTAAGGACTCTTGCTTCTGGTTCCCTGTTCCAGCTTCATGATGCTGCCATTACAGTGCCACATTGGCTCTTTCCAGGCCTGATCCTGCAAGATCCCAAGCATCTCTTCAGATGTGCTGAGCGTCTCATCTCTTGTCCTTAGCAGAATGCAGAGAGTGCTCTGTGCTTTGCTGTGTTGGATCCACCATAGCCAGTGCTTACTTTTTCCAGCTGCCGCTTGAATTGCTTTCAGGGAGTGCTCAGTTATATGAGAAGGCAGCTGAATTCTCTCAAAAGTACCCACTCTTGATAATTCATTCCCTGATCAAAAGTAGATAGTTGGCCCACTCTAGCTTCCACTGATCTCAACAGCAAATTTCCCAGTGATTTTACTGAGACTGGGTTCGAGGATGTTATAGCAGCCAGCTAGTTTGAAAGTGACTGCATCTGCAAAATCAGAGAGCTAGTTCATATTTACACAAGTGTCCAATAAGATAACACGCTTTAGAGGGTCAGATTCAGCTCTCAGTCACAGCGGGGCCCCAATGGCTCAGCCTAGAATGTCAAAGTGCTAAGGAACACCCGGAGCAGCAGCAAGGCAGCTTGAGGACTGGTAAGGGTTAGCTCAGTGTCTTCTCACTGCACAGTCTAATCAAACAAGGAGCAATGGATACACTTTTCTCTTTCTATTTTCCCCAAGCTGAGTGGGGATAACCTCAGGTGAGTCCTGCCACCTGCCCTTAGGTCTCTTGATTATTCCTCACAAGTCCTGTGGGTCCAAATTGCAACCAGCTCCTGCCCAACCAGTCAGAAATGCAAGAGCTTGCATGGGTACACAACTCAAATTCAGTGCAACAGGTAAGAAAGAAGAAAGTCAGCAGCAAAGCTTTCCAACAACACAACAATAACAAATACTTTACAACAAACACAATAGCAACAAGAGACCCATACTGCCTCTTAGCAAATTCTGTATTACCTTATATATTCTCTGGCTAACTGAAGGGCGCTTTCCCACTGATTCTGGAGTTCAGAAATAGTCTGTTCAAACACTGGCTTCGCAATTTTCTCATTTCTCACTAAAGTTTCTCCTAGAGTTACCATATTCTGTATTTTGGCCTCTCCTCCATCTCTGAGACCTATGATTTCCTGTATTAAGGGAGAAAGAAGCTGTAAATATGTATCTGTTTTTGCTTAAGGAGTTTTAGCAATGAAATCTTTCATTCTTTGCATACTGCTCTTCAAGGAAAAAACAAGCCCTTTTCCAATACTCTATATACTCGAGTGTTTATAAGTACCTCAAGGGAGGGAGTGCAGAGGACGGTGATGGTCTCTTTTCAGTGGTGGCCACTGATAGGACTAGAGGAAATGCCGGGAAACTGAAACACCAAAAATTCCATAGGAACTTAAGGAAAAATTTCTTGACAGTGAGGGTGACAGAGCACTGGAACAGGCTGCCCAGAGAGGTTGTGGAGTCTCCTTCTCTGGAGATCTTCAAAACCCGCTTGGACGCAGTCCTGTGCCACGTGCTCTAGGTGACCCTGCGTGTGCAGGGGGGTGGACTAGATGATCTCTAGAGGTCCCTTCCAATCCTAAGCATTCTATGATTCTATGATTCTATAGTCAATGTATACATAGATTGATCATCTAATCTTAGGAAGCCTAGAATAATGTAGCTGAGATTTATTAATTATTCTCTATATAATAACAGATAACTAATATTGTTCTCAATCATTAAAAAAATGTTCTCGGGGAGAGATATTTGTCACAACACTAACCCTTCTAGGGAAAAAAATGTGGAAATCCCAGCAGCCTCATTTCTGACTGCTCTGCCATGGAGTCCCTGTAAAGCCTCTCTGCCTCTGGTGCAGTTAATGAAGGGAAGGTGCCTGCCCACCAGCCCCCTTCCCTGGCCTGAGTTCAGTACCGGCCCATTGAGAAGGGCAGCAGAGAATCTCCTTATGTGCTGCATTAACCATGTAAAAAAATACCAAATCCCAAGAAAAAAGCCCCTTCAAACAAACCCCAAAACCAGAGGCAACCAGCAGTGACAGTGTCTTTTTCGATGCACTGATTCACCAAACATTCTCCTGATATTATTCTTGTTGTCAAGCCCAAAGGTAATGCATGTAACACAATACCTTTATCTGATTAATCCGTTCGTCTGATGGAGACTCACTTTCCTGTGAACTTAGGTTACTAACAGCCTCCTTGAGCCTTTTGATCCAAGAAGAAACATCCTGGGCATGTTCTTCAAAATTTTGTCCTTCCACTAGATGTCTTTGAGTATCTCCTGCCATTTCACTTGCATGTGTCACCAGTGTGTGATATCTACTAATAAGAGCAGTTGTTCTGGAAACAGTTTCATCTTCTGTCAACCCAATCTCCCTCAAGGAATTTGCTAGCTGAGCCACAGAGTCAAACGATTCTCTAAAAAAACACAACCAATTAATCAAACATCTATCTACTACAACAACATGGATCTTTTACAAGACATCTGTAAGATACAATCCAAAGGCAACAATACCTCTGCATTAATAATATTTGATAGTAGTTTTCAAGTTTTGTCTTATCTTTTTGAATCTCTTGCAGTTTTTCTTCCTGAGTGGCAAGCCACTCTTCCAAGCCAATGCTGCTCTCTTGAAGGCTAGAAAAACAATAAATACAGATGCATTTCAAAATGAGAGGCTTTGCATAAGCAAATCTTGCTGGCTACTGTATTTTTCTGCAGAAGTAATATAATACCATGGGCCCAAACAGGAAAAATTTTCAAAAGGATGTGCTGCAGTATAGCATGGAGCATAACCTGCTCATTATGCATAAAATAAAACACTATCCCATATTAAAAGATCATCTTTAATAAAAGCAGTGTTATTTGTCCTTCAGTATGACTGCTTAATGAATCTTTTTTTTTTTAAATCAGCTATGTTTAAAACATTAGAAATGACATTAGTTCCCTACCTACTGAGCTGCTGGAGAGAAGCACCAAGTTCCTTTTTCCGTTTCTGACATTTGGAGATCAGTCTTTGCAGTTCTGCTTCTTGATCTCTCACGTAGCTGTTAAGGTGATTAATACCTGCTTTGGGTAAGTAATGTTTCACTTTATTCAGTAAAGTTTTAACCTCTTGGATATCTCCGTCTTTGCCTTCAGAAGTTAGGAAGTGCTGAATAAAAGCATAAACACAAGATGCATTTGTCAAATTTGCTGTTGAATAGTAGAGATTTGTTTTACAAGAGTTTCTTGATCTCTGTTATCTCCATCAACATTTGCTGAAGTAATTTGTGTCTTGTCAAGAAACATTCATTTACAATTTCCTGAAACACATTTATCCCACTTGCAAATGGAAAAGTTGTTGCTTGTATAATAAGAAAAAAGTGAGGATGACAGATTTTCTTCTCTATAGTACAAATAAAACAGAATAGGTAACTGCAGAGTTCAAATACAGCACTGACATCACTATGCCTTCTGCTGCTGCTAAACAGTGATCACTTCTTGCAGACACTGTGGCTTTTCTATCTCTTTTCCTTGGATTCTGCCTGATTTGGAGTGAAAATCTGTCCATAAGAAAGTGAATGTAAATTTTTCCATCAAACCCAGTGGGGAGATCAGAATTTCATTTTACCCTCTTCTTCACCTTTCTCAACCTTTGCACACTGAATTTATGTGGACTTCCACTACTACCATCTGGACTCACCTTGCATTACTATGACTTGAATCTGAACACTGGTATCCAATTTTATCAAACTTATATTTTCATTCCATTTACTGTTCTAATGCTTTATGTTAAATTAAATAGTCTCTAAGCCTCCCGCTAGGTGAACTCCCACACAAGAAGAGTCTTCTGGATAAAAAAGTATAATTTCAAGAAGAATCAATCCTAGAAATTAAAATATTCTAATCTTTTACCTCTAGTCTCTGCATTTTTTCTTCCAGCATTTGTTTTGTTTCTGAAGGGTTGAAGCAGTCCTTCAAAGAGAGTTGAGTGCTGCTGACCCAGTCATTAAAATTCTTGCACTGAAATGCAAAAAGATATATTCCAATTTTCATTAATTGTATTCTGTAAAAGAAAATTCCTATTTAAAATGAATATTTCAGGTAACTCATAATTACCCTCAACAATGCTACTGTCAGAGATGTGATTCACTAGATACAATATGAAAAGAAATGTCGCAATTCATACTTCATTTTTCACCCAACAATTACTGATAATAAACACTGCTGTTGCTGGGGAAGCATGCAATGCAAAGGATGTCTGCTACATTTGGCAACTTTGGTAAACAAGACCTGGGATTTTTATCAACTTTTCTCATTTGCACAAAAACAAATATTACTGAAAAATCTATTTAAAAATGTGATTTCCTTTAGGCCTAATTCTACACTAGCACAATCTTGTGTCTAATAAAGTAAAGAGTAATTAATGATGCTACCCACACCCATAGCTAAGATTATATTAAAAATACTTCCACTTGGATCAAGTGATTTGTTGGAGTCAATTGACATTTGTTTGCAAATCTTTACTTTGTAGAGAATCCTGAAGCAATCTGGCAAAAAATTTAAGAAACTGAACCAAAAATAAATCAAATTCACAATCTTAAGGTGATGAATATGCTCTACATAAAACTATAAAAAATATAAATGTGAAATGTGCTTGCTTACGGTTCAAAACACCAATAAAGTGATCTTGAAAAACATGTTTCTTCTTATTAAATAAATCAGTGACACATTTAAGCTGCTTATTTAATTCATCCACATCAGGACAATCTGTCTCTTCTTGGAGTAATGTCACGTGGTGCTTTTGCTGCAGAATTTTCTGATGTATCTCCTAAAGTTAAAAAAAGGCATCTGTTAAAAAGAAAAATCTGAAATACAAGCAGTTTACTGGACAGAGCTGTTTCAGCATAAATTATATAATTTTGCAATTACCTATGTATCAAAATTTCTTAAAATGCATTAATATTAATAATGAAATTCATAAGTAGAAAAAGCATTAAACTCTCCTTGAGTATTGTGCGTACATCTTTATACATACATGCTCACACATACATTCACACGTAGGCTTGTGTGTATTTTGTCATCGCCCACATTAAATATGCGAAGGGCACCGTAATAAATATGTTCCAGGCTATAAAATATGTAGTATCTATAATGACTTTCTGACTGCATTAGTTGCACATGCATCTTTCTGTCTCTAAATATCTCCTCTACGTGTCAAATCCTGCTGGATTGAAAGACAATTTGGGGGGAGCTGGGAGAATTAACTGAAGGCTGTTTCTTCCTTTACATGGAATTTCAGTGCCCTAAGCAGCAGCAGCCACAATGTGCATCATCGACTCGTTGCTTAACAGGAGGTTTAGATCTTGGCAACCTCCAAATCACAAAGCAGCTCTTTCCTCACCTCTGTCCCCGAGGTGAAGCAGATGGAAAACTGAATAACTTACAGAGATCCCCCTTGCAGATCGTGAGGCAAAGACAACTCTATCACTCGGTCCTGGAAAGGATGCAAACTAGAATCCCACTACTGCTTCAACATATCTTGAGTGGGATACTGTAGTCTTGCCTACCACTGACCATTTCCAAGAGCTGCAAGACTTAACTAACGACATCTAAGAACAGCCAGAGCAAACGGCCTTTTCTTTTATGCTTCTGGCAACTTTAGGAAATAGCCAAGCCAATCTCTTCTTTTGTGCTGTTCTAATGGTTTGCAACCTGCACAGGGGAAACACACATGAAGACATGCTCAGAAGAAAAAAATGAATCAAATTATAAAAGATACGTAATTTGTGGCTACCTCCAATTTAGTGAAGATCTCTAATGTATCAGAAGGAGATAAAGCTTTTAAAAGTGATTCAGTCATCCCAATCTGTGTCTTGGCCCGGTCAAGGTCTCCTTTTAGCTCTGCTGTGTTCACACCAAGTTCACTAGTTCCCCGCTTCGTTGACAAGAGCTCTTTTATTAGCTCCATTTTATGCACAACGGATGATCTGATGACCTTAAAATTGGAAATAAGAAGGTGTAAGAAATGATATGGGATTGATTTCCTAGAATATTGCAGAACTACATGACAGCTATAAAAAGCAATGAAACGATCTGAAGACCAGATGCTTCAATCACAGCTTTTTTCAGTTTCTTCCCCTCCACTCTGCAAATTGAAAAATAATAACAATAGTATTCAAGCCCTACTTTTCTGAGGGAGAATAATCTCAGCTCCTCTTTATGAGGGATGCATTAACTGGTGCTGCTTTACTGAACAATTTACTTGTCAGTGGTAGACAAATACTGACAGTGTATTTGTCAGTGAGTTGATACTCTGGTATCTACTCTCACCTGGATGAAGGACTTGGATGCCTTTTCACTATGAGGAGAAAGGAGGTGCCAGTCCTCTTCTGCAACACGTTCCCCACACTGCCCCGCAAAACAGGCAAGGGGAACAGAGACATGGGGAGCTCTGGCTTGAGAATGGTCCTTAACTTTATCCTTAAATCTTCTGCAGAGAGAACTCAATGGTGTCCTGCCCACATGGTGACAGATCACCTGGGGGGCTGAGGGTGCCTGGGCTGCCTCAGGGCATAGGCTGCACAGCACAGCCTCACTCAGCCCTTGCCTAAACTCCTTGGATCATTTTACCCAGTGAAACTCCTCCGAGCTCACTGGCTGCAGGGGATAAACATACAAACGGCCAAACTGGGTCAAGTTCAAGGTCTGCCTGACCACAGCCGAAGCAGATGCTTGGGGAACTTGTATAAGTTCAAAGCACTGGTGGCCTCAGGTAGGAAGAAAAACTTACTCTTGGTGGGTAAAGTAAAAAGATGGAGATTTCTTGGTACCATTGCAAAGGAAAACAACATCACTGCATGTAAATAGCTACATATTACCAAGCTGTGTAAGTCATATCCAGGTAAAGGTACAGTCTAAAAGGGACAAGCAGCATGCTGAGTCGCTGGGACCCCAAAAGGATGAGAAAGGTCCCTGTGCCTCGTCCCTGGCCAAAAGCTAAAAGCCAGGTACCATTAATGCTAGCATCCTTCAGCAGCTTTGGAATGGTTGGGGAAGGGCCAAACCGCTGCAGAACACAGGACTGAAGACTTTTGCATTTAAAATGACAGGTTTGGTTTTGACAGCTTGAGAAAGACAAGAAATGAAATGCTGGGTATCAGCTAACAAAATTGCTCCATTTCTCTTCAGGCAGATCTAAGTCAAACCAAGAAATGATTGTGGAAAAGATGAGTCCCAGCCCATTAGCTTTAAAAGATCCTTCCTACCTGCAGCTCCAATGGGGGTTCATTACTGTTCAGAAGCTCCTCTATCTCAAGAACAGTATTGTCAAATTTCTGGAGTTTCTGCTCTTGGACTCGTAAACAAGCCTGAGGGTAGAAGAACATATCTATAACTATATTGCTTTCACTCACATTTCATTTCCATGTTTCCGCTGGGATAGTGCTTTTTTTTTTTTTTTTTTTTTAATTTTGCCTTTTGGCATACAGAGTTCCAACAACTGGTCCATCTTCTGATTTTCATTTTAGCCATCTAGATTTTTTTCGTACTAGGAATAAAAAAATTCCAAGTGTCCAGAGCCAAACAGCTGCTAATGCAAATCCAGTAGAAATTTTAAAATGTTAATTATTTTACCCAATCATCAACCCAATCAAAGAAGTAGGAAAATAATTTTGTATTTATTTCCTGTTTTGTTCTACTAAAAAAAGCAAACCATCTTTAATTTTTTTCAGATGTCATGGATCTAAGACTTGGCATGCTGATCCCTACTTCAATAGGGATGGGATGGTGCATAAATCACCTGATCCAATGATCATGGAAGCAAATGGAAAGACATCTACTTGTCTGAAGACATTTTGGAACAAGCCAGTAACATGAAAATAAAATATCAGCTTCAATTTATGAAAGCAGAAATGTCACAAACAGCCACACTGTCTCATGTTCCCAAATTATATTTCCAGATTCTCTTGGGACAGACTATTGCTATGGACTCTCTTCACAGTGAGTTACTCAGACCCATTCACCCGCTGCAAGTCTTAAGTGTTCCTACCCTCACACTGGTTTATTATAGAAAGCAGTACTCGTCTCACACTATTTATATTGAGACCACCTTTAAATATACAGGCAAATATTTCACTACTTGGATTTTTTTTTGCGACAAGCTTCTCGAAAGCACACGTACCCCTGCTCTGCTGGGTGGTACAAGGGACCCCATGCTGGCAGTCTGTGTAACATGATACGTAATGCAACAGTTGGGTTGTAATTAATACTAATGCAGAGATGTTTGTTTCAGGATTAGGAAACATAATAACCTATAAATGGGCCTGACTCACTCTGGGCTATTTTACAAAAAAGTAAATACACGAAATCCAATTTTCTTTCCTGCTTTTCTACCTTCACCTTAGTTCATGACTCCCTCCCTTGCCCTCTCCTCCCCTCCCTTTCAAGGATTACCCAGGAAATGTGAAACCACCCCGGCACAGCAGCACAAGGCCTTCCTGAACACCACCCAAGAGCCACACGAGGACATGGTCACACCACACTGGCCTTGGGCAGTTTCCAACTAACAACATGACTCTTAAAATGCAGTTGGCAGCTGGTGTCTTCTTGTGTAGCCCTTAGGGACCCGAACTACCCCATGACAAGACAAAGCTAAAAACAGTAATAGTGGAACAAATTAGCTACCTCTGCACATCAGCTAGACTCCTGTTTCACCAGGAAGATCTATATGGAATGAACACCTTGGGTTTGTTTTGCACTGTAAATTAAAACAAATGAGCAAGACTAACAGTAGTGGTAATGCTGCAAATAGGCACAACAAAACCCAGGGCATTTGTACCACGTAAATACCAAGAAAAAAGTTGTCTATGTATTTTCAAACAAGAAGATACTGTACAGATCTACACCTCAGCCCAACTCACACAGCAAATTATTTCTATTTAGCAGAAAATGACTGCAACTACAACAAAGCAGCACAGCTTGTCAGTTAGGGCCCTGAAGTTTGAAGTTAAATATTTACCCCTGAATACGAGGTCCTTAACTGCACAGGGCTAGCACATGCGTCTCTACACCTCCCTGCACCTCTACCCTTGGAGTCAGGGCTACGAGCTGTGCAGGAGGAGCACAGGCAGAGCTGGGCCATGCTCTGTGGGTAGGTGTTTGTCTGTCCTTGTGCAGTCCCTGGAGATCCTCTGCAGCCTTTACAGCTGCACAGAGCTGTCCTGGGAGCGCACCAGGACACAGGCTCTGGGAACCAACAGCCCACATCTACAACCCCTTCCTCAGCTGTGCACTGCCCAGCCACTTCTGCAGCTCACGTGCCTTTGTGATGGGCATTTTGAAAGAAGAGAAGCGGTCATTAGCCTGCACCTACCCTCTTCTCCTTCTTCTCTAGGCACTAGGAAATGAGTCTGCCCCTCTGCACAGACTACAAAGCTGTCCTGGCTTCACTGTATGTTCGTACAGCACCAAGGAATGAGGGGGCTGCAGGGGTCTACAGCAGCACTCGGAGTGCTGTGTTAATTAATTTAAAAGAGTTTTGCATCACCGCTAAGTTTGTATCTACATATAGGCCTCTCCCCCTATTTGGTTCCAAGACCTGTAACCTCAATGCATCAATCACTTTGTTCACCTAAACTGTCCTTGCAGATACAGTTCCAAACGTGCCGTCCACTTCTTTGCAGCGCTGCTATTTGCACGCGCTGTACATGTTTATGAGCAGAGGTCCACACCACCTCAGCAGGAGTTTATGCTAAAGAATTTCCATGCAAATTACCTGCAGCTGTGTAAGGTCCTCTTCGATCAGGCAACGGTCTTCTATGTTCTTCAGTTCTGCATTTGCCCACGCATCGATTGTGCTGGATAAACTAAGTAGTTTGTCCCACAAAGCCTGAGCTCTTCCCAAATTATCGCAGTAGTTCTCAGTCTTTTCGTTGATCTGCCACAGGATTTACATAGAGAAAAAACACACTCAGATTTCAAAAATGTTGAGTTATATCCTAAAAGCAAAGCAGTATAATAAAATCCTGGCAAAATGAAACCACCCACATAAACAAGTGAGACAAGGGAAAAAAAAATCCCATGTTTCTTCACAGTAAATTGGTCATGGAGGAGACATTTAAATCACTGCCACACATGTCGCTAAACATACCAATCACAATAGCAGCTTGCCAGTTTTAAGACAGGTTTAGGAAGGAGCCTTGCTCATTAATGTTTATCTACTCTGAGTAAATACCATCTAATCTCAGTATTGATGCCGTGCTTAGATCTGCAGCCACAAACATTTCTCACCAACAACACAGCAATTCTCCAGATTGTCTCCCAAGTCTAAATGCACAGAAGTTGCTGTGGAAGCTCATGGATTCATGCAAAAGGCACAAATACTGCCTTTCGGCATTTCTCGGAATTGTATTTATTTTTAAGGAATGCCCATGACATAAACTACCTGACAGACCAGAAACATTATGGCAGTAGACACTCTATAAGCTTTGCTGTGGTAAACACTTGGATTTATCTCCTAAGAATCTTTGCCATATTGTACGTAATTTATTCCAAATATCACTCCCAAGTCAGAATCAATTACTATAATGCATAACAGATAAGACCACCCTGATAATTTACTTTTTACATACATCCAGCCATCTGTCCACAATGATGTTAGCCTCATTCTCAAATGGAGGTTCCTCAAAGCTTCTCATTTTATTGAGCTGGAACTGAAGGTTTTTGCAGATCTGATTTATTCTGTCTACATCTTCAGAGTGATCATTAAATTCCTCTTTTGCCTCTTCAATCTGTGGAAAGCAGTGAATGGATCTTTACAGGTGTGTTTACTTAAGACTATTCAGCAGAACATTTTTAGTAGTGTGCTGTTCTTTTCAGTTTAGAGAAACAACAGCATGATGCAAAATAATCCATTTTACATAATGTAATGAGGCCAGGGATGCATCCTCTGCTGTTCTATCCCTACCACCCTCACAGGAACGCTCCCCCCCCATCAGAATGCCAGTATTTTTTTCGTTACTGGCTGCAAAACAGCTTCATGGGAGCTACGCGTGTGTGCTTCTGACTCAGAGATCCAAACAGTTTGTTTTAAAAATAGTAAATGCGAAATCCAAGGTAACACACATCCATACAAGGCACCTCAGTTACAGAAGGAATAAACAAAACACATTGTCATAATCATCTCAGAACTGAACTACTAACAAGAACAAAAAAAGCTTAAACTCTACTTAAAAATAGTCATTACCAAATACGCACTGCCAGAAACAGAAACGTCCCTCCTTCCTCCTTTCTGCTTGTGCACAAGCCTGCTTCTTTGTGCTGGATTGTAAGAGCAGTGTTTACAAACAACAGGGAAGCCTGATGGAAATGAAACACTGACCTCTAGTGTTAGCCAATTCGATAGGCAAAGGCCCCGGAATTGCTGCCAAAGGGATGAGCCTGTTCTCCTACAGATGCTGTCAACCATGTGCTACTGCAGGGGGATGGCAGGGCAGGGCTCACAAGCCAGAGCAAGGCAGAGGACCTTCTCTGCTACTGTTTTATATTATAGTTTATATTATTTATTATAATATTTGATATCATTCAAACCATCATATGAGAGAAGCCCCAAGGAGTAATATAAAATGTTTTGTTTGCTTCAAGTGGTACAATGCTTTAAACAATCTTCCTAGTGACAAATAAATTGGCTGCTTTGGTACCTTTACAAACTGCTCCCTAGAAGGTTTTTACCATGTAACCTTGGCAGAAAACACAGAAATATTCCAAACAGTACAGGTGAAATAAGTCTTGTGGGTTTCAAGAGGTGTTTTTCAATAAGACCAAATTTTTGTCTTATATTGTCATTATATCATTACTTTTCTATTTTTTTCTAATCCCTCCCTTGTCATTAGACTGTGATTCAAGAGGGGTAGGATCCTTAAAGATAGTTTGGAGAAGTGAAAACAAGACTTAACATTTGCCCTGAAGCCTGGTCACACCCAAACATTCTCCACAAGAGGTTTTTTTTTTCTGCGTCAGTAAGTTCTCGCAACTCACCTTTGCTATCATCCTGTTCAAATTCTCCTTCCCCATGTAGGAAATCTGCTGTGAAAGCACAATCTCTTGCTTCTGGATAATGCTGGTCAGACTACTTTTGCAGCTTTGGTATTGCTTCAGGAGCTCCAGAGCCCTTGCACACTGATCCTGGCTGTTAAAAAAGACACACGTTATTTATTGCCTATGCATAAAAGAGCATCTCAGAAAGCCTGCCTGCCTCCTTCTCCTAAATTCAAACATGTGAAGAGTTTGTTGATTATGTTGGGAGGCCAGAAAAGGGCAGGCATGAAGCACCCCAGTCAGAAACCCAAAAATGCTGTGATATATCTGTTGTGGTAAATGGACATCTTTTGCAATCAGAGATGCCTTTTGCCATCATATGTCCCCCACATTTAACAATGATGTGGCCTGAGCAGTTTAGATTTATTTGACACCTCCCACCTGCAAGACACGCTCCATCACCAGTGAGATGAAACACAGGGTGAGCAGATGTCCCAGCAGCTCGGCAGCGGACGGTGGGAAACGCAGTCCCAGCTCAGCCTGCAGCAGCGTGTCAAAAAGACCCTTCATGCTGACACTGGGACAAGCCACAAGGGTTCACTGAGACTGCCCAGGCCATCCAAATCCCCCAGGCACTTTTATAAAGCCTAATAGGATGCCCTGGGTCATAAATCATACCCCTTCCCACTCCTCACTATTAGGCTTATCAAACAGAACTCTTTTAGTCTTCTCCTGCAAAAGACACTCTATTTTCCGTGCCCTTTTCCATCTGTTTCAGTTTTTTTTTTTTTTTTTGGTATGAAATTCACAGCCAATACAGAAGACCTGTCGCTCTCAGTAGCAGCCAGGTTTTTCTTTCAGTTACAGATTCAGACCAACATGTCACAGCATACCTGCTAAGTGATGGGATTTTGATCACTTAAAAATAAATAAAAGGCATGTGCTTTGGCTGCAAATTTCTATGTGCAATTCTTGGCATTAAAACAGCTTGCAGCACCATAATTGCAATATTTCTCATTATACCACCATTTCATTTACTTTAGAACATGGTCTAAGACTCTTCTGCTGTTCGATTTTTACAAGCAACATCCTTGTTTGCACAACACTTTAAAATATAATGTTATTCCTTACCATTCAGCAAGCAACAGTTTTGTATCCTCCCATAAACTCTCTGTAACTCTGCACTGTTCATTTGCTTCCTCTGCTTTTTCTTCCTTGATGTGTGGAAGTTTATTAGCAATTTCTCGCAGGGCTTTCATTTCAACAGCTGCACAATCCAGTTCCTTTTCCAACTCCCTTAATGATTTTACTCTTTATTAGAAAAAAAAAATGAAATACAGCCTTATATTAAAGTAGGTCTTTGACTCTTTTCCCCAATACAGCTATTAAGTTCCCTCATCCTGAGCTGCACACACTGACTGTATTAAATGACACACTCGCTGTATTAAATCATATCATAAAAAGTGTAATTTCATCTGCAGTTGGTACAATCTGACAGTCTGTCACAAGAGTTATACTGACCTGAGCCCTTTGAGAAATTTATCCAAAATCTTAAATGTTTCTGTAGGAACATAGCTAATTATCCTGTATTAATATCTAAGTGTATTCTGGCCATCTTGAAATATGGTCTCAGAAAGGAAATTAAGGCATAACTAAATATATGAGCAGAGTTTATAAGTTCTTTGTCTCCTCTTATTTCCTGTCTCATAAACGCCAGTGACTTGCTTAGTCATCAGTGCCTGTTTGACACCTATCTTACTAAAAATAAGATCACAGAACTTAACCTCCTCCCCTTTCTTCTTCATCTTTGCTGCTTCAAACACACAAATACACACATGTTTAGAAAGAAAAAAAATTTAAAAACGTCAGAGAAAGCTCATCTTCTCTGGTGACCCAGAGAAGCAACCATAAGCTCATGGTTTGCTTCACCAATGCTATTCAGGTGTTTTAGCATACACTCAGATTTCAGTGTTCTACTGCAAAGGGGCCACAGGCACTCTGAATTCACTGTTTAATCATGAAATTAAAAGAGCTTAAAAAAAAATCTTACCTTTGTTGAATAGCTGGAATTGTTGGATCCTTCAAGCCTATTTTATCAATCTTGTCATGCAAATCCCGAATGTTTTTAAGGAGTTCGCTATTTTTTGTGGAAAAAGTCTTGTTTAAGTCATTTTCCTCCATAAGCATCTGTTGAGTTGAGTGATCATTAGCCTCACTTAGCATTTCAGATAAAGTCAGAACAAGTTTTTCACAGCAAGTTTTTCTCCCACATTCAGCATCTTCCAAACAGATATCAACTCTTCTCAAGCGTTCATCCAAACATTTAGCCTCTTCTGCCATATGAGAAATTTCTTGTGAAGCCTCCCTCAGTGCCTTTCCTTGTGTTTCAGGTTGAGCTGAGGGATCTACAGGATGTTTGATGGAAAGCTGAATCTTCCTCAGCGAGGCCATAAAAGCTTCCAGATCTTTCAAGACTGTTTCTCGAACCTGCATCTTTCGGCTCATTTCCTCAAGCTGGTTTTGATAATAAACCATAATTTTACTTGCTGCTTGCAGATCTATTGGATTAAATTCATCCCTTGCTGAACTGTCTAGGTGTTCCAATTGTTTGCACACTTCAATCTGATTTAATATGGATCTCTGCAGCTCCTGAAATATAAAGAATGACCAACAGTGTTAGCAAGTGAAACACAGTAATTTAACCGAGACCAAGCCCTAAAAATCTTTACAGAGAACATCAATTCAGATGGTAAAACAAAGGGAAAGAAAAAATAAATAAGGGCCACAATTATGGCCACTGAACAGAGCGTTATGATATACAAGAGCTGAGAACAAAGCAACTCCAGAACGAAGGAAAGTCATCAACAAGAAGGGATGTTCATGACTGAGCTCTTTATGGTGGGTCCCACTGATGCTCCTTGTCTCTACAGCAGCAACATCTTTTAAAAGAGGGGAATAAAAAAAGGAGCTAAAAGTGGTGGCAAGTCTTGTAATTGGCCCCAAATTCCTCCATGAGAAATAGCACTAAGTTTTCTAACTCTTTGCCATATTAACAACCGTTCTGGATGAGGTATGGTCTTTGCATTTCCCCTTACCTTTAGTTCCCTATATGCAAGATCACTATTCATCAAATTAAACTGCTGGATGTCCCTTTTGTTCAGCCGCTGATCTAATTCACATAGAAGAACCGATTCGTTCTCTATTGGCAAAACAATTTCCAAAGCGGTCCTTAAAGAGTTTGTTCTGCAAGAAAGGTAAAGAAAGATCAACTGGAAAAGCACATAAGGAAAGACATAGGGCAAAAAGCCACAATGTCATTGTGATTGACTGTCTAATAGAGCTAGGTAATAATCCTCCTCCTCTTGAAGTCAACAGGAGGTTTTTTACTGATTAATAAGAGAAGCAAAGTGAACCACAGTGAATTTAACCAGAAAGTTGAAGGAACTACTGATAACCATGGGGACACTACACAGTGATATTGCGACGATCTGGCCCTGAGTGCTTGCAGAGATTCACACCATCTGCAAAGGGTGTATGTTCGTATTAAGATAAGATTAATTTTACGTAATTAACACATTAACAAGACAGTTTAAAATGTGCATTTTCTGTAATGTACACTACTCCCTTCACAATACACATTTCAGTCATATTACAATCACCTATAGCTTAGCTAATATCATGCAGGATTATTTTATACCTGGCACTTATAACATCCTGAAGCTCTTTCCACTCTCCTTTTAGCTTGCTTCTTGTTTCAGAGATAGTAGCCAGCTCTACTTCATCCACAAGATTTTCTAAGGTAGATGCAATGTTTTCCAGTTGTATCCAGCCAGAATTGTTTTCACTTTCTATGATCTAGAAGATATGCAGGGTTAAGCGAATTAATTGACATGGTATTTTATAAAAGACTCAAAAGATTCAGAAAAATTCAGAAAAATTCTATCACGAGTTACTGAGGACAAACCTGAAAACAGACTTGTAGTTAGAGTATCTATTACTTTTTTTTTTAAGCCCACATTATCATTTGCATGTAAATCTCCACCATAATTTTATGACAAAATTTTCCACATGAAATGCATGTCTTAGCTTTACTTTTAAAAAAGTTCAGTCAGTACAGATTGGCCATTTTTGCTGTAAGAATTTTAAAAGAATAAAAACAACCTTAGAATTGAACCAATTGATATCCAGCTAACCTGTGGGCTCACAGGAAGGACCTGAAAAACTGCAGTAACGAATGCCCCAGCACCAAGCGTGTGCCCTTCTTCTACAGGCTAATTTCTGCTTCTGGCCACACTGGAACAACTGAACTGTGAAGGGGGAATTCACATGGGCCTGATGCACAACCCTTGATTTCCCTCTATTCTTTATAAATCTGGTTGTGCCAGCTCGCCTTATTCTTTAGCACTATGAGTAACACATAGAAGGTGAAGGCTCCACAAGAGAAAACAACAGTCCAGGCACAGAATATGTTCTTAAGAGATGAATAGTTACCTGTAGTTCAAGCAGCTTGTCCTGAAGGCAGGAAGTGCCTTTTATTTCTTCAGTAAAGCCAGCTGCCACTTTATCTCTGCTGATTTGTAAAAGTTCCTCCAAGTTACTTCTTTGATTGTTATAGCTAAAGAAAGAGACAACTGCTTTCAGAATGGGCATTATCTCTGTCTCAATGGGATTTAACACAGATTGGGATTTCTGACCAATACATTGCCAGATAAAATATGCATTTGTAATAGACTGTGCCTATTTTAACCCAAGTCCCAAATTAATGGTCACAAAACAGCAATATATAGAAACGCTGAGAAAACTGCTCTGCTGGCAAATTTTTATGTACAACACGCCCTAAATTCAATTTTAAGCATGTAAAAAATATCAGCTCCCCAGAAAAAAAAGATTCTTTTTTAGCTTTTCCAATTTGTATTTTTTATTTGGAGTTATTAGTAAGGCAAAGAAAGGCAACAAAAGAGCAGAAAAAAACTCTGAGCCCAAGTGCTCTTGCTACAAAGCCCTAATGTTTGCAACATTTAGCTACTATCGTGATTCTTTACCAATTACAGAGTAATAGTAAATGAAATGTAGTAGAATGAGAAGGGAGTTCAGCAAAAGCGCATTCTTCCAACTCATTTTTAAGTCTGTAGCATAGTAATATCTCTTAATATGAAAGCCTTTTATCCTATAAAAATACCTGTCTAGTAAAGCTGGCAAGGGCAAATCATTGTCTTCCTCATATTTCTCTGCACAGCTTTCTCCATTCTGATGTGTCACATCTGTTTCCCAAACTGTACCTGAACCAGGTCTTGATGTCTAAGCAAAAACGAAAAGGTAACAAAGAGCTCTGTGTTATGCTGTGCCAACACCTAGTAGAGATCAGTATACAACTGTGAAGCCCTGAAAGAAGCAACCACTTCACATGAAACCCTCTCGAAGGAGATGAGAGATTCCATTCACAGATACAATACGTGTGCTGAGCGTCACGCCGTCTATCTGCAGCTTTACGCCCGTCCAAATGATTAACTACTGTATTTTCTCTCTCTTGGCACTTTTTTTTTTTTTTTAAGCTACACAAGCACACAGTTTTTCCCCACATTTTTCTAAGGCAATTACCTCCAGTGGCAGTATTTTTCCTCTGTGTCCTCTGCAACTTGTTACTTGGCCATTACAGAGACTTACAGTTGAACACAGAGCTTCACACAGCTCTTTCAGTTGAAAATCACTCTTTAGCATAATATATTGCAAAGCTGGGGTCCCACTCACATCTCTTCAGTATGCCTATGCTGTTCCTTGCATGTGAATGACTGATGAGTTGAGGGATTCATGAGTAGCTGCAACTTCCTTTTAACAGATACTTCTTAGGATTTATTTAATCTACATTCCCAAGCACAGTGGGTTTCTGATCTGTGATCAGATGTCTAATAACAGAAATAATCACAGTAAGCATGGATTGCATACCTCCTGTGCTGAAAAGATATTCCTTCGCTGGGAAGAGCCTGGATTTTCTCCATTCTCAGAAGCAACAATGGAATCTCTAAGGTTTAGAAGAAAGTTCAGATTAAGAACAAAAGTAGCTATGACATATAATAGAAAAAAATAATGTCAATAAAGATTAAAAACTAACACTGCAGCTTTGTCAAAGTGTAATCAGTGAACTTGTGTGTCTCTGAAACTCGATATTAAATGTTCAGAAAACATAGTTGCCCTTAGTAGCATGGCAATGTGCTCAGCAGTGCACTTACAATACCACAAAAACTATCCATTATCTCTGAATTCAGTGAGGTTGTGACACCTCATGCACCCAGTCACTCACTCTTTCTTGGACGTCTGTCCTTTTCCAGTGTGAGACAGCAGCGCTGCGTAAGTATCTGCCACAACGGGCTGAAGTTTTTCTAGCTTTTGTTCACACTCTGTGACCAGTGTCTGTACATCTGGGAGAGCTGCTTCTGCTAGTCTTCCCAATGCTTTAAGATCTTCTAATGACTTTTTAAGTTCCTTCAGGCTGCCTTCATGTGAGAAAAAGGCCTATATAGAGAAAGCAATATAATAAACTCATGTTAAATTATAAATATTTGCAATTATTTTCATACATTCTTCTATTTTCACTGTCTTCTCAAATAACTGAACTTAAATTGTAAGACAACTAAACAGGAGAAAAACATTTATTTTCATTCACTTCTTTTTTAAACAGAGCCAGCAAAGAAATGGAGAACACTGGCAACGCATTTCCCAGTTGTACTCAGAAGATCCTATTGACTCTTGTCTGAGATTGAAATGACCTATACTACTACATTTTTAGGTCCCAAGTCCTAATCACACTGCCATTAAAATACACCTTCTATTTATTACAACAAAAGAAGAATTGCAAAAATTACTTAGACCATTCCTCATGAATAATTTCTAGGAGGAAATTAAGATATAATAAAAACTTTAAGCAGAAGGAATGCATCTGAGAATGCTTACTTTACTCTTGCATATGTAATACCTGCTGAGAAATAAACCCATGAAAACCTGGCCACACCAGTGTAAATCCCTTATAGAACATGTCAGGCCCACGTCAGCTAGTGACACATGGAAGTTTTATATCTAACCCTGTGGTTCACTTATGTGCAGCACAATCAGGGGATATTGCAGTGTGGGGAAGGTGCTCTCGGTTCAAGCCACCTAACATCACATCTGTGACTGATACAATTCAAGGGAGACCCAGCAACAAGCAGTTAACTTTATCCGTCTGCCAGGATACTAATACCTGAAACCAGAAAGTCAAGGAGACCATTGAGGTGGCCTCTGATCTACATTTACATGACACCAAACACCAAGGCCCTGCTCCATAAACGCAGACTGGGATGATGCATGTAATAAGGACCAGGAAGTGTCCTTAATAAGGACCTAGGACAGTGCCTTCATACAGACAGGGACGTGAGCAGAAAAGGAGTGTGTCAGGTACCTCATGTTCCTTAATGAGCCCTTTGGTTTTATCCATGCTGAGGAGTTTCTTCTCTTTACTTAATTGCTTGTTGATTTTCTTAAAAGTTGCATTAAATTTCTTTTTCTCCCTTTCTAAGATAAGCTGGATACAGGATGTAATTTCATTATGAACTGCCTGCAAAATTCAGAACATGGTTAGTATCCCTGTGAGAAGGGAAGCAATACTAAAAAACAAGTAAAAAAACATCTGAACTTAAGGTGACAAAAGATTGTTTTTCAAAGCTGCCAGGCATAATGAGAAGACAACGAAATCTTCTCTGCATATTATCTCACCTCCCATCTTTTACGAAGATCTTTACTCTTTTCCTCCACTGCTAATTTTTCATGATCAGGTGAAATATTTTTCAGTTGTTCAGCTGCTTTTAAAAATTTGTCAAGAACATTATTGTCCAAAGCATTGAAAGCTTCCTGCAAAAAAAGTATCAGAACAAAAAATAAACAGAACTGTATTTGCCTTGTTTACCTAATAAAATGACATTAGTAGCATATAAAAGCTATACATAAAGTATGTATCCTTGGCATGTACAGCCCTGTGTGAATGGGCATAAGGGCATTCCCCACCCTTTCGTACCTGTAAAAGGGTTGGAGACAGTATCAGTTTATGCTTTAACAGAAGAAATCTTGTCCCTAGAGTTCTGCTTTTAGGGGCAAATTTGGAACTAAAGGAGAAAGATGAAGATCCCATGGAGAGGGAAGACACACAACTTGGGAAAAGCTCTGCACGAGCGTGGTGGGGTCTGGCAAGGCATCGGGCACGATGGGCTGCTCCCTGCATGTGCATGACAGGCCTCGCTATGCACCACACAGCAACTCCGATTTCAGATACCTCAGTTCACTTCTGACACCCCACTTAAAACCCCTTTTAAGAGATCTGAATTTTCCAGACTTTCCTTTTTTTTTTTGAAAAAAAAACGAAGATTCAACTTTTATAATGCTGCTTTAAAAACTCCTTCAAGAACTGGGCCATGGGATTTCCTGATGGGAAGGTTTTATTATTAATTAGGCAGGAAGTGGCTGTAGCTCAGAAAAGAAATCTGAGCATGATGGAGCAATCTAAGTAAGAGGCAAAAAGATTCAAACTGCTACAGAGACATAGCAGCTGTGGAACTATCAGTATCTTGCATTATACAAAAGTAAAATCTTGGCCCAAACATCACATAAATGTTATTTTTATATTTTGCATTTCCTAAGACCAGTTCATTTCATCAGGAAAATGAGATAAAAGAAAAATACAAAGTTTCCTTTTTTTAAAGAGGAAAAATCTCTAACTCAAGTGACATTGGAAGCCTCACGAGAATGTCTTTAGTGGTGGCAATGGAAAGCAATTTGGCATCAGGAACAAGCAGTTTTTAAAATACTTGTTAGCATTTATGAAGACAGTGCAAACAAAAACATATACACTGCCAATTAGGACATGCAGCTAAAACGGTGAAAATTAACATTTCTCCTCTCAAATTGTCTGCCAGGTTAATATACACCAACAATGCTAAATCAAAAAGTTGGAGAAAAAAACATTAATAGCTACCAAAAGTATCTGCTATTTTTCTTGCTGTGGTATCTTTACTTTTTTATATTAAACAACACTAAACATTACTCCATTCAGCTGGCTCGGGAGCCGATATGGTATGAAAAGCAACTCACCTCATATCTTGAAATACTTTCTTCAGGACTTAATTTTTGATTGAGAAGTTGCACCACCTTTGAAATGGAGGCTTCAAGGTCTTTCTGGAATTCTTCAAAATTGAGCAAAACCTCCTTTTCTGAGGCTCTCTTCTCAGATTTGGGCAAGACATCACCAATGTCACCCATGGCAGCCTTGCAAGAAAGAGACACTATTCAGAGCACGTGTGTGTGTCACTATTTCTATAAGGCTATTGCTTCATAACATCACTCGGGTTTTTCAAGTTGAGATACTGATCTTTGAAACATTCCACATTTTGCCCTGACAAGACTCTGGAAGACTGATCCCAATATTATAAAACATATCTGTTCTACGTAAGTGAAAGTAATTTTCCTAATCATGTAATGACAAAATTAGAGAAGTTTGTGCATGATGAAGAAAAAAAAAAATACCTCAATTTTGTCTTTGGCTTCTTTAAGTCTTGCCTGCAGGCCTGTGGTATGAGAATGCTGCTGGGACACCTGACTGGAAGCATTTTGCATCAGGGATTGCAAGATCTCTTCTGCTGCCACGACTTGCTCTTGGCACAAGGTTCCTCTTGCAGCCAAGCTCTGCAATTTGAATGAAAAGCATCAGAAGCCTGCACAGTCTTTTTATTTAGAGAAACTAAACTGAAAAAACAGCACTGATCTTGGAAGGTCTGTTTCTGGTCAAAAAGAAATCTTATATTTCAACATATTTCATATATTTCAATGATATATGGCCAGCATATATTATACTACAAAATCTCTGTGTGGAGAGAAAGAAGCCTGCTGCCATCCACAGGCAATTCTGTTTGCTAGCACATTCTTCCTGTCAAGATGATACCTCCCATGTGTTTGCCTCAGTGCCAATTAAAAGCAATTTTCAAACATTCTCTCACATCCTAGAGGCTTCCCAAATAAACATACAAACCATGCATCTGGATATGCATCGTCTGAACATGAAGTCATCCAAAAGCAAGCATATGAAGGCTTAGATTTTCTTGCAGTATTGCAACAGGCCAGAAGCAGCCACTTATTTTGCATGCTGAAGTACTGTGCTATATTTAAATATTTATCATGAAATGTCCTTATTAGAGTTTTTTAACCCACAAATATTCAACATATTTCCCTGTTTGAGGCTGTCAATGAGCTGTATTCTAATGATAATCAGTGCTTTATTCCGGATCTTGAGCTATTGTACTGCAAGGGATAGGTGACCTGAGCTCTGCTTCTCAAGACCTCCTTTGATGTTTATTAACAAACCAGTGTTATCTTGCAGAATGAGGCTTATTTTATAAATGTTCATCCAGAAATTACAAAAAGTTCTTTTCTGCAAACTGTAAGCTAATTCTGTAAATTAAATACAGCGCAATACACAACTCAGAGTCAACTCACACTAATTCTGATTCAGATTTATTGCTGGTGGATTCAGTACATGGAAAATCTGTGTTTATCCTTAGGGCTTGGGCGGAGGAGCTCTAATGACACCTGATTCTGCCACTGAATTCTGCAGAAGCTAAATCAGTCCCCTGCCACTAGTTAATCCTGTCCCTGCTGCAGAAATAGTGGTAACATAAGACAGTTCTTCAGCTTCTCCAGTGCAAGCCTAGCATCTTTGTTCAGTCTCACCTTCACTGGCAGCTGAAGGAAATAAATCAGACTTTGCACTGAAGCTGCTGATTATACACATATTTCCATCAGCCAACTGCCAGGGGGAAACACTAGCAAGAGAATTCATCGATGCTCACTGTGGATGTGCCAAATGTAAGCAGAGAGGCACAAATTACCCAGCATGTTGTTGAGAACACTTAAAAGTATTCCAGTTTTTGACAGGTAAGTCTTGAACACAGCCAAGCCACCCTCAGCTCCTTGCCTGTACTGGAAGTGAGGCAGCAGAAAGCCTGATATGACTGGGGAAACTCTTATCTCAGCAGCTTCCAAAGTTTCAGTCTGCGAGTGCTGCTCTGAACAGGGAGTAATTAATACCACTCAAGAGCAAGCTGCTGATGAATGGCAGAAGGAGCACCTCACTGGCACTTGCTGCCACTGCACATGCTGGTGTTTGCAAGAGTCATCTGTACCTTGGCTGGGAGCTATTATGGGAAACAACACCCACATACTAACTCAGGCCTGACTGTTTAAGACTGTTAGAGCACAAAATCCACCTTCACTAACACTTCACTGGGGATAGTTCATTTTACCCCAGCCACAAATCCCCAGTAGAAAGATGAGGATCTGATGAATGGGTACTTTAAGCAGTATATTTCCATTTTCACCTGCAAATGCTCCTCTGTCTCAGGTTCCACACGTTCCTGGTGACGGATCTGGCCGAGCAGCTGTTCAAGTTCGGCTGCCCAGCTGTCCACCCCTTTGAGCAGCACCTCCATCTCCTCCACGCTCTCTGGGAGCCCCCTGGCCTTTTCAGCAGCATCCGCGCTCTCTTCGACGAGCTATGAACAAAGTGCAGGGTTAGCCACGTTCACACCCGACGTCAGCTCCCAGGGGTCTCCCCAGCACCCTGCTCCAGCACACGACCACCACTCCACCAATCATCCGGCATTCACACCCTAGGGGAATGAAGGAGAAATACACACTAAACCTACACCACTGCATAAAAGAGCAAAGAATTTTGTTTGCAAGCAGGACAACAGATGTGCCCCATCCCCTATAAGCAGGTGGACATGGTCCCTCTGCATGGAGAACTCCTAGCCTGCAGCCTTCCCCAAGCTGTGCAGAGAATTCTCTGAGAGAGCCAGAGCTGGCAGAGGTTGAACTCGGACCAAGAATCGTGATAACGATTTAATGGTCCTGGCAGTCACAGGCCAGAGATTAACCATTTGCCCTTGCACCAGGTTTAATTATATATATAAGTGATATATATATATAATACAGGCAGATATACAGAGGCATAGACATAAAGCCCCAAAGCGATGCCAGAAAAATAACTCCTAAGTCCTTAAGCCCTTGTAAGGGTATGAGAGGACTTTTTACCTCTTCTTTCTGAACATGACTCCTAAAAGCTTCTCTCGAAAGTTCTGCCATATCACTAAAGGCTTTTAGAGGAGACTCCAGATTTCCCTCACTCTTGTGAACTTGCTTCTTTTGATCTTCTTGCATTCCCAGTAACCTCACCTCCTGCAAAAACGTTGTAATTTTTGCCGCAATTTGTTGTCACAACAACACCTTTAAAATGTCACCAAAAGGCTCAACTTAGAAAATTAAAAGTTAGGAGCGCTGATGTTCTCAGGCAGATTGGTAATGCCATTCTTGTAATTGCATTCTAGGAAATGTTAGCTATGTTACACAAAGCAGGTTCTACAGGAATTTACAGTAGCCTTAAAACCTGTCAAGAGAACTGGTGTAAAGTTGTGCAACTCTAGAAAATGCTACAAAACAATAAAGAACTTCTACCAGCTGAGACAGAGAGAGTATATGATTTAGCAAAGGCTCACAAGCTGTTAACAAATTCAATACTTCCATCTCTAGAACTGAATAAACAGCTTTATCCTGCAACAAAATATCCTTTTACAGGAGGGAGAAGGGGAGGTAAAGTTTCCATTTAAAAATTTGTGCATTTTCCATAGTGCCATAAAGACATTTAACAAGGCACATATGAACAGGATGCTTCTGTGTATTCTCTGTTCCTCCTGTTCAAAACCAGACAATTCTGAGTTGACTTGATTTATTAACCTCTAAAGAACAAGTTGATAAGTTCAGAAAATAAAAATTCTGAAGGGCCCATGACAAGAGAGTCATATGAAACAGGAAGGTTTTAACTTACAAACTGTGTCCTCTTGATGAATTTAGCCCATCTCCGGTTCAATTTCTTCAGCTCTTTAGCAATATTTGATCCAACTTGCTCTTTGCTAACTTCAAAGAGATAATTTCCAGCTTCGTTTAAGGAGCCATGCACTGAATTCCAGTTTGTCAGAATCTCAGCTGGTATCTAGACAGAGGCAATGAAATTGTTTAAAATAAAACCTGGCTCAATGTTTATTCCCAAAATGGGAAACAAGAAAACATCAGAAACAAACACTTCCACACTTTCCTTCCAGGAGACTTACAGGTATCCCTGTCCTTCACGACAAAGAGAAACCTAACCACGTACCTCTTCTGGCTGCTCGTTTCGTTTTTCTTCCAGCCATGTCTTCAGTAAGTGGATGTTTTCTGTGTAACTACTCCAGGAAGTTAGGACTTTCTTTAAGGTACTATTTACATTAGAAATATAGTCCCTGCACATGGAGATTTTCGATCCCACTGTCTTTAAAAGTTTGTTAATTTCTTGAGGATCACCAGCTAAGACAGGGAATAGGGAAAAACATTATACACTTGAAAACAGAGTGTTTGAAAACACAGAGTCAGTATTTTGCATAAAATATTGGAAGGTGGTGAGAATTCAAGCTGGTGACAGGACATCAGCTCAAAAGAGAGGTCTTTCTCAGTTGATGAGAGTGAACTCACCCAAGTCAGGCCTGCTTAGGTTTTGGTTTTTCAAATCTTCACAGATGTGTGTAGCAGTTTCCAGATGTTTTTCAAGTCTCTTTTCTTCAATGAAATTCTGCACAAAGTGAAAAGGAGCTGTCAGGAGTAATACTTATCCACACAAAACTAGGTAGGGAATGCAGTTTGGGATATATTTTTTTCAATATTAATTTATAATTTGCAGGTTAAATGTAACCTGTGCACATCCGGCAACCCAGTTACTTCCTTTAATCTTAAATTAGACCTGTTGTGTGCCCTGCTAATGAGAATTTGTAATTTGATGTGTAACTCCATCCTCTGTACTGCCCTTTATAATCCTGATTTTTGCACACTGGAAAGCTGAAGCTAGAGACACTTCAGGTACCTTTCTGAATCTCTTCCTCATGTATTAAACTACTATCTATAATCTAACAGCTTGAAGGAAGACTATGAATCACTATTGTAAAAATAGCATTACAGTAAATATTTATAAAACTGATTGAACCAAGAAATTCAGAACAAAACAGGACAATTCATATGCAGCAGGAAGCATCCAGAAGCAAGGAGGCTGGGAAAAAGAAAGAGGGCATCAGGTACAGACAGGATTAGCCAGCACTGCAGTAGTGGTAGAGTAGAAGATACCTTCTACTGAACTACAGAGATTTGGGTGGATTTCAGCAAGTAAAGGGCTGATACGGTTTGACCTCTAAATAGCCTAGAAAGAGTCCCTTGCCCCTTTTCTATGAAAGAAAATGAGGAAAGAGGAAATTATAGATAGTCACAGCTGCGTCTACTTCTCCAGGCTGAAGAAACTCACATTCAGAGCAAAATGGGAAGACGACATGGAAAAAAAGGTTTTATGAAAGTCTACCCATGCTCCTTGCATAAATCCCAGATCCCACAAAACAAGTATGCTTCTCCCAACCATGCTGGTATCTTCAAATGAGGAGAGAGGTAAGTCTGAATGAAAACTATGGCTGTCAGGGTCCATGTACGAAACATATATTTTAAACTTACATTCCAGTCTTCCAGGAGTGATTCCACAGACTCTTTTGTCCCATATTTCATGCTCCAGATATTTAGCTTCAACATCACCTCATTGGCAATAGCTGAGCACAGCCCACAGTGGTATTCAAGGAAGGTGTTGGAGTTTGTGAACTGAATATTGCTGAATCTGCAATCAGCAAAATGTTCCAAAGGTTGATCCAAAAATAACTGCATGTAGATGGCATTAATGTTTAAGGCTTTTAGCCTAAAAAAACTGTAATTACAGACATTATATGCAAACATCTATTTTGTTATGATGGAAGTAAAAATATAAAATAACATCTGTTCACTTTTTTCAGCATTAACAATTTTGAGCATAGCAATCTTGTCTGCTCAATTTTTGAAAAGTCTTAAATAGGGATATCTGCCATCTATTATATCGAAGGGTCTCAGATTAAGGACACAGATTCCCTGGTCAGCTTTGAAAAGAAGCTTCCAACAGCAATATGGGGTTGTACATCCCGTAGATCTCAAACTGATTTTTCAAGTTAGGAATTAAAAAATGTGGAAAGAACACCCCTCTCAACCCCCCAAAATTTTTTAAAAAATTGAAAACATCCATGTTTGCTATCCCTAGAGGGTGTTTCCTATCCATGCTAACACAGAGCATCTAAGAACCTCCTATGAGATGAGTTTCATTTGGCACAAATAATTAATTAGACATTCATTGGACCAAAGAGTGAACCTGCCTGCTCTGCATCCCAGTCTCTTCATGCTTGGAGGGAAAATGTGCTTTCTCTATAAGCATGGATAAATTACACACTTTATTCATAGTAACAGAACAAGTTAATAGCAGAGCTAGAAAAAAACATAGCCAAAGTAGAGGGAATTTGAGAACCACAACCTTCGTTTCATTTCCTCTAGTTTCTCAGGCAGTACTAGTGGCATATTCTTCTCATCTTCATTCTTGAAGGATTGAAGGGTGTCCAAGTGAGAATCAAAACAATCCATCAAGCCCTAGGGAGAAAAAGACATAATAAGTCATTCATTTAAACACTAGAACATTTCACTTGGAAATCTGCAAATTACCTGACACTAGTGAGAGCTATTAAGAATCAGTCAGCACAGGACAATGTTCCAGTGTTTTAACTCATCAAAGTCAAATGAAAGTATTCATATTTCATCATCTCCAAAAACACATATTTACTAACCGCACAATATGGTTTATCTTACCACTGTGCATCTAGTTAAATATAAGGAACGTGGATCTATGCTACCTATACTATCAATTCTTTCCTCAGTTTTACTGCCATCTTTGGAACTAAGAAGTGTCATTTTGATAGTTTCAAGGTATTAAGATCTTGAAGTTTGGCCAGAGTTTGGCAAAGCTATTATCAATTGAAAAGCCATGTCTCTGGCAACTGACTAGCATCAGTCCAAAGAGGCAGCATTACCAAGTCACTCGCAAGACCTTCTAGGTCACATCCACTCAAATTTATATCACGGACACATCACAAAAACATCCACCTCCCCCATTGCTAATACAGAAAGAAAGCACAGTATTACATTCATCAATCAGGCATCAACACAGTCACTTTTTTAAAGTCTTCAGACTCAAAAGGATACTTAAAATACTATCAATGCCATGATCTCAAGATTAGAATAAACAACTTGCAAGGAAGGTATTGAATATTGGAATACCTTCCACTGCTTTGAGTGGAATTACAGAGTGATTCAACAAGTACTTAACTTTAATCACATAAGCTGCATGAACTCACTGGAATGTAACCCTGACCCAAGTGCTTTTCTGAATAGGTATGTATTAAGCATAGATTTAAAGATAAGCATGTCCCTACCTGCATTATTACTTAGCAAACAAACAAGTTGCAAGTGCCACATAAAAAAATACCACAATTTATTCACTCAGCATTCAATTATAATTTAATCTCACTCCAGCAAAATCAGAAACACCCTCCTATAGATCCATGTAGTTATTTGATTAAACTACTCATAAATCAAAAATCTAAGATATCATCAGAGGGGCTTTTCATCTTCATAAGATAAATATATGCACACCACTTCCCAAAATGTCAACATAACAAGTGCTTTGCTAGGTCGGACTGGAGAGGAAATTTCCCCTCCAGCATACCTTAAATACTACAATTATTTCTCTGAAGAGAGACATTGCTTTAAAGGGGTCCTGCAAATCAGGCAAATCTTCTGCCTGCAGATGTTCGACCTCCTGAAGCCAGGCCTCAATGCCATCCAGAGGAGGGGGAAGCATCTGGTCCAGCTTTGTCTTCCATTCATTAATCTTAAAAGAAAAAGAAAAAATAGAATTGATTACATTTCTCGCTAAAATTTCTCACCAGCTCCAAAGTACTGACATATGTTCTACAAGCTGATGCCCTGGACACCTCAGGAACCATTCACCATTCAGTAAAGGAGCTTCCAGTGAAGGCAGCTGGGAATGAGTTACGTTTACCTGAGACTCAGATTGGCAGGGGGCAGAACAGAAATAGACTTTCTGTCTTCTTTCAGGCACTGAACACCATTCAGTCTCTCTGGATTTCAGATTGAGAGTCAAAACCCACCTTCATTAATCCAAATAAAATATCATCTCCCCTGTTTTCCTTATATCAGTTCCTGAGGTAGACTTAAGTCTTCCTCATCAAGCACATATTGATAAGAGAGCCAGAAATGCCTCTGACCTGTGAGATCAGTTTATGCCACTCTTCTCTCATCTGCTGCTGATCTTCACTTAGCTCAGCTACACTTGCTTTGGATGACAACACAGGCAGAAAAGCCTTTTTTTCTTGGTTAAACGCTTCCATAAACACCATCATTTCCTAGGGTTGAAAAGGAAGAATAAGTCATAGAATAAAACTTTGAGTGGGAACTGGGGGAGTCAAATATTGTCTTTGGACATGTCATAGGAATTCCATTAACTTCAAAGGATGTGATTCACAGCAAGGAAAGCTATCAAGAAGGAGGCATTCTCACCTGCAGGCAGTATGTGGGTCTGAAAGCACAGATGCCACACAGTATGGGTGTCTATAATATAAATGCCTGTGCAGTCAGGACATGGATTCTCCGAAGGGGAAAATTTCTCCCCTTCATGCTCCCACATGGGCCTTTTAATTATAAACTCTGGTTACTAAGCCACAGAAATAAAAGAAAATTTTACTTTAGATGCAATCTGTAGCCAAAGGTTAAAGTACCCTTTCATGACGCTAGTTGAGAAAACCTAATCATTATTATTATCACAGCAATGGAGAAGGTGACCCCAACTGCATCAATTAATTAAAAGACATTACCTCACCTTCTCCAAAAAAACTTGCTCTGCTCAGGAGTCAACCAACCGGGATACAACTAATTCCTTACAGATTTTTTTTTTTTCCCAATCTTCCCTCAATCATTTTGGAGCATTTACCAAATTCCATCTCTGGTTTCCAACTCTCTTGTTTAAAAATCTATTTAAAACTTCAATTTAAGCAATGAATATGAAAAGCTCTGTTTTGGGGAATGTATTTTTAATAATTCCTTGACAAGGCAGGTAAGTATTTTAAGAGAGTCAGTGAGATGCAACTTACTTTGTACTTCTGGTAATATGTTTCACTCTCGGTGTCAATCAGCAACTTCTCTAACTTCTTTCCTTGTGCAGCCAACCAACTTACAGCGTCTCTTACTTTTCCCTGTTAATTAGAGCAGAAAAAATCATTTTTCCATTTTGCAAGACCTGTTTTTAATTTACATTGTGCCATAAAACAGTGTACAAGTGAACACATGATAAACTTCACCCAACACTTTGGAAAAATAAAGAAAAGCTCCTGGAGGGCAGACTCTAAAGAGTTTCTTTAAAAAAAAAAAAAAAAAAAAAAAAAAACAACCACTATCTCAGAGTAAGGCCAAAGTTTTAAACCTGGCACCTGGATATATTAAGAAATTTTAAAAGAAAAGTCTGAATGCAGCCGTATTATCAGGAGATTATCCATAGAGAGCTATGCGAACAGCCAATTAATGCATAAAATATCATGTGAGAATATACAGAACAGAAAACTTGATTTTGCAGCTGGTGTCCTCTGTAGATGACAACTTTTCTCTCCTCTACATTTAAGCTATTAACTTTAAATCGGTTTGTTCTGCATATTTGTAGATCTGTCCACCTGTGTCCAGAAACTTAAATACAGAATTCAGACTGTACACAAAGGCAACAGGTTTGAAAATGTTTGAAAATTAAATAGTTAAATGGAAAAAAAGACAGTCTTGACCACAATTCCACCTGTATCATCAAAAACTTATCACACTGTGTCTTGGGTATCACTCAGGAGCATCAAGAGTTTCAAACCAATTCAGTTGCTGAATCAGAAGACCAAACCATTACAGACAACGGTTACCAAGTCATGTTATAAAACAAGAAAACAAGCACTGAAATTCTTGGCAACCTTGAATCTCTTAGAAGTGTCTCAGTGATAAAATACGTGACCTACCTGCATGTCTTCTTCAGACACAGGTAAACTCCTGGAGTATTGCAAAAACTGGGCCACGTAAGTCATGATTGACTTTTCATCTGGATTCATAACGTCAACATCTACAAGAGCCAATATTCCATTAACACAATTATACAGTCCTCATGGCCTGGTCACATAATTACGCATTATGTGGAAGTTACTTAAACACAGTAAGTGGTTACATTTATTTTTCAGCAGCTTGGTTAAAATACCACTGTCAGAAATTTCTTTACTATACACTAGTTTCATATCCTTTCTTCTGAATATTGTTCCTGTATTTAATGCCAATTAAAGCAAAATCCTCAAAACCTGAAGTACACACTGTATTATACAGTAAAGAACAGCTTTCAGCATTACAGTAAATATCAGTGTTTCATTTCAAATCTGAACAGAGTCTTATTTCTTCCTGCATTACAAATCAACACATATCAGACAGTATCACACACACTCTTACAGCAAAGACATAAAAACCTAGATCATTTACCTTCAGGCTCAAGCAGTCGAGGAATATTCAACTCGAGTTCGGCAATTCTGAAAGCCTCTTTCAGATTTTCTTTATTGGTTCTAGTTTTTGCCTTCTCCATGTCAACTAGACCTGGTCTTAAGGCATGGATGATGGCTAAAAAAGGCAGTCCGCTTCGCCAGCTTGACTTGAAATCAGTCACACTGATAGAACCATGCCTACCCCAAGAAGGATTAGAAACAAAATGTCAGAGTCTGTTCCTCAGATGGCATAAGTATAAATTTATAAATAGAGTATAAAATTAGTAAAATGGGATGTGATACAAACGGAAGGAGTTACAGAAAACCTTGCCATTGAATTCTGTAGAAGCTAAGTCAGTCAGCAATAAAGCCAGTACTACTGATTGCTACAAATACTTTTACAAAATGACACAACTCTTCTTTTCCATTCTTAAGACAAAGCCTTACTGATATAACACTCTTCCCAAGCCCCAGCATTGCTCTCATTGTCTATGCATCCTATTGCACTGAAAACAAGAAGCAAAGCATGGGAGTTGTTGCAATAATGTATATAAATTTGTCTGCGAAGTGGCTGAGTATTGGACACATTTGGCTTTCTTTTCCCTTGTTAGCTTCCCTGTCTTCCGTGTTACTCAATGCCTACCACAAGGATCAAAATTCACAAATCAAGTAAACTTTCCATTAGATTTATGACACAGAAAACTGTAAGCCCCTAAAAGTGAAAAACTAAACAACTCTGGTGTTTTATTAATGGGATTAGCCTCAGTTTCTTACATTTAAAGGGCTAATGTCAAAACGCTTAAGGCCCGATAGATACTAAAATACTGCTAACATCATCTAGATTCTAAAGATTCTATGCTAAACTGTCACTAAGAAATGTGGTAAAAAGAGTAGGGGGTAAATACATTACAGGGGAAAGCAGCAAAACAACAACAACAACAAAAATTACTATTTAGATACTATTTATAAACCTTGGATGGAACTTACAAGGAACATTGTTCTTTTGCCCACAACAAAAGGGCCTTTGTTGCAGAGATCTTCCACCGTTCCTTAATTTTTGCACTTTTTTTAGCTGATCTGCTTGCCTTTGGAGAGGAGTCAACAGCACTTGAACAATCAAGAGATGGTTGATTGTAAGTACAAGCAAGTGTTCTGGCAAGTTCTTCAATCTAGGAGAGATGACAAGAGCGTTTAATCAGGTTTCAATGAAAAATTACCAAGGCATCAACTGCAGAAAACCAGGGAGAATTGGACAGGACTACTACAGCTATAGTTGTAGATCAGATTTTTGAAGTCTGGCCCAGATTTTATCTGTTCAACCTGAAGTGTATCACAATGCCAGGCAAATCACCACTGGGTGATTTTTTGGCAGGCAATATTTACCCAAGACAGCTCATCCATGTGATGCTGTGGACATCACCACTGGCACCAAATTAGTTCCTTACTCAATGTACTTCACTGCTCCTCCTACCACTGAAAGCAGCACGTGGCAGCTGCGTTTGTGATGTTGACACACTGTTGTGTGTTAAGCCTGTTCACAGCTTGCATGTTCACACAGGACACAGCCACATCTGCTTCACAGACCTCAGACATCCAGCACACCCAGAAGCTTTGTTCAGGCAAAAAGATAAAGCCTCTGGGTACGTGCAGCCTCGAAACCTTCGGCACCAAAGTACCATTTCCGAAAGTATGAGATACATACTGTTAAATAAATTCACTTTTTGGCTCTTCCCCAAGTGCCACTCCCCCACTCACCACAGTGCACCTCTGCTGGACTCCTGTTAGAAGATAATTGAGCTCCATCTTTCTCTATAATTCTCCAACATGACCCCAGCAATATCCTGTGCTTCCAGACACTCCCTCCTCCCCACAAACCATGCAAGACACTCAGTATCTGGTAAAAGAAACACCATCATGAAAGGCTGCCAGACAGCCTTTGTGGTACCTCAGGCATCTGGTACCAAATAACAGAAGAGCAAGTACTACACAGCACGAGCACAGCCAACACAGGCTGCCCCTGAGGGAGGTGGATGTGAGCCACTTTGCACTATCCACCCTATTTGGTGCTTAATCATCAGAGGGCTTAAGCAAATGGGCAAAGTTTAGACTACTTTTAACTGGTTATTTAAATCTATGTATATATATGTATATGCCCATTCTACCATTCTGAGCTAGATATTGTTCATCAGACTGTAACTCCATCATTAAACTGGAGAAGCAGCTCACAGACACAGACAAGATGCATTGGTGCATCTCTTACCTGAGTCATTGCTTCAAGTTATCAGAAAATAATCTCCTTTGTACTAATTCATCTCATTTAGCGACTACATAAGTCAACGCATTTTTGTGCTTTTTTCCCCCTCTACTAAAACGCTATCTCACATCACTGAAATACTTACATGAAAATGAAATATAATTGTCCAAATTAGGCCAAGCACAATGGAGGGTTTTCCTTCAATAATGTCAGCAACATGAATATTTATGAGCTTGAGCTGAGGAAAAAAAAAAAAAAAAAAAAAAGGATCATTGTTAACAAAGAAAGTGTTCCACCAGCTCAACTGGCTTTAGTTGTGAATTTTTAAGTTAATACTCACTGATCTGCTCTTTAAAAATGTCAAAGCATTTTCTATGTTGCTTCTGCATTGGAAGGTATTAAATCCTTTTTCCCGGGGCTGTAAAGTAAAAAAATATGTTACATTCCCAGGAGCAATAATCCGTTTTAATTTATATTATGATAAAGGAAGTCTTGCAAAGATTCATGAATGATTTGCAATGAACTAGGCTCAGTGGATATGATTAAATGACAGCGATTAAGACACTTGTGAATAGCTCCATGACCCCAGACTGATCATTGCTTACAACTAAACACATCCAGAAATATTTGACGTAATATTTTTATTGCTCTGTCTTACCAGATGTTGACCTGAAAGCACTTCCAACAGATCCAAAAGTAAATGTCCTTTCTGTATATCTGTGTATAGATCTGAGATAACAGAAGGGGGTGTATGCTGCAAAATAAATTTCAATGCTTGTTACACCATCTTTTGTCAGCTTGGAAACATTACACTGCAAAACATTACAGATTGTTTTAATTTGTTCTTAAAACTCTGAGCTTCTTTTTTTTCAGTAAGCTGAAATACAAATCCCACACCTCATTTCCCACATCCTGTTACTTCTGAACCATAACCACCCTTGCCTCCTGTACCTTCTTGCCCCTGCCTCTGATTTCTACAAGAGATAATCCAGACCTTATTTTCAAGCATTTATGCATTTCAGTGAGGTATGTGTCAAAATAAAACAACTTTCAACAAAAAGGAAATCAAGAAAAGCAGCTAATTCATTTTCGACTTCTTAATCTTTGTATCTTGACTTCAAATTGAATTGAATTACAGAATTGAATAGTTAACCTCCTCACCCTTTTACTAGATGTAGACAACACAAACTTATCACAAGCTCAACGGATTCTGCTCAAGAAAGGACCAAAACAAGATTATTTGGCTCAAAAAAGTCAGATCCCCAATGTTCTCTGCATTAGCTGCTTTATGAAAACTTAAAGACAACTTACAGTGTTAGGTGATTTCTTTTAATAATCGCTTTTCACTCAGATTATCCCATTAAATTTATGCTCCTGGATTGCAGAATAGAATAATTCTTACCTAAACATAATAAAACTAACTGTAAAAATAGAACATCTTAAATTCCTGTCTGGGACATGTACACCAAAACCCAACTCAAAGTCTGGAGACAGAGGAAATAAGTTTCACTAGATCAGTGGGAAAGATACTCTCATCTACCTATAAATCCTGCCTTCTGAACGTCCTTAGACTATCACTGATGCAATGCAATTGCATTTATTAAACAAATGCTCTCTAGGGATATTTTTCTCCAATTACTGCCCAAAATCTTAAATTACTTTTGTTTATTCCTGAAAAATTTAACCTCCACAGAGCACTTCTAAATTAAAAAGGCAAAGAAAAAGTCTTTCTCACCTTTGCCAGTATGGAATTTATCCAGCTAGTGAAGGTTTTCTTCTGGGTAGACTCTCGCTGCACTGGGGAAAGAAAAACAAAAAACGCTTAATGAAAAAAATGGTCTGATTTTGTCTTTCTCGAAAAGCTCGATGGGATCCATCTCATACCTAAGACCCATTTCCCAAGATATGATATTGGTAATACTTTCTTGCTTACAGAGCAAACTTTCTTGCTTACAGAGATCATGCTGCATCAAGCAGATGCAGCAAAATCAACTAGAAAAGGCTTTTCTAATAGTTCCACAAACAGATAGTGGTTTGAACACATCATCCTATCTAGATCCCATCATATATCTAGAATAATTCCATCCATTTCTAACGACACATAGTGTCACCGACAGAGTAAGACCTACCCTTGGGATTGCTGAAGGGTTTCTCTCTATGATAAAATTCTTAGGAGAGCCCAAGTCAATGAGAAGGGCATCCTGTTCCTACCAGGATCTAGAAGATTTGGAGCCTCCTCAGACCCCTCTCAAGGAGGTCAAACCCAGGAAAATCCATGCGTCATGTCAGGTGATGAGACGAGGAAGGAGGTCAGGATATCTAGCTGGGTGGTAAACACCCAGCTGTAGGTGAATCACAAGGAGCATGTCTTGGTTAACCGAGCAGCAGTTCACTGATCAGACCCACGAGGGGTCTTAAAACAGGAGCGAGGAGAAAGAAAATGCTTAGACGACAAGTATCCCTGCGAGAAAGGTGAAATTCGGACGTGCTGCCAGGCGTGCAGGGACCCAGCTCTTCACAATGGTCTCTGACCATTGTGACACTGAGATACTGTGACACTGTGGTAAACCATGAGCAGGGGGCACTAGTTGTGAAAGGGGACAGGGAACTGTTTTAGCCCACATTTCAGAAACCGCATTTTTTAACTTTCCCACAATGGAGTGGCAAGCAAAAGCATTTCTCCAGAGCTCGTGGGTAGCAGATGAAGAAAAGGGAATGCTTGTCCACTACCTGCAAAAGGCCAAAGAGGAAGGCCATTTATGACCCATTTCTGGTAAAAGCTTGTCCTGAGCTTAACCAGCCCAGCAGATGCTGCTGAAGCACAAAGTTGGCTCGCTGCCAACTGCCCCTCGCTGCCCTTTGCTTCCCAAACCCCTTCCCTGCACTGATTCAATATCTCCTCTGTATCCTGTCTGAAAGGAGCAGTGTACAGATTATCAGATTATGCCCCGCTTGAGACAGACATGGGAGCATGGAGCTAGCCATGCACCTTGCCAAGATAAATAATAATGGTTTCCCTTGGCGTAAAGCTTCATGCAATCCTCACCTCAGGTAGAAAAGATCCTGTCCATTTGAACGGCACAAGATCAGGCCCTTCCTCCATTTTACTGGCTGGTATAGCGCCCCTTCCCTCGCTTCTGCTCAAGTCTCTGATTCCTCCTGCCCCTTTTCCCTCCATATGCGAAGAAAGATTGTGCTCCTGCAGAAGGCTTCACATGGCAACCAAGCTCCTTTCCGTCACCTTTACCTGGCTGCCTGCTGGTATTTCCCTAGGAAATGATGTGGAAGCGCTGACCTAAAATGGAGGAAGGGGCGGGACTCATTTTCTGTGGCCCTCTGGTTGTTTGTGTCAGGAGATGCCACATACATCAGGTAAAAGAAAGCACCCTGTTCCCCTTCTCCTTGCATCTGAAGAGCCATCCCAAGCACCACACCGTGTTCAACAGCCCAGGTGGGATGGAGCAGTTCAAATGGACAGGCCATTATCTGAAGGAGGACAAGATACCCTGGGCTGATGTTTCGTTATCGCACACATCGACAGCAGGGCTCCTCCCAGCTCTGCCCATCACGTTTGTGCTTTATGCATGAGCACGCTTTTCAAGACAGAAAAGATTGCTCACTTCTACCAGATCCTCCCAAATTTCTTAGCTCCTGCAGGCAGATGAAAGCTCACTTTGAGACCCGCTGCAGCTACCTCCATGCAGCTTCCCCATGGGCTGCGATGGATGCCCAGGGCCTCTGCACCTCACCGGGTGCAGGACGTCATCCTGGGAAGTGGCTGGCAAAACTGCTCTCCTGTCAATCGCTTCTAGCTCCAGGCAATAGGGAAGTAAAGCATGACCAGCAGGAGAGGTGCAACCAGAGAGGAAACACAAGGGAACTCGGGGATAGGTATCTACACAGCAGGTATCTGGCAGGTTTGGGGTTGAGCGCAACTCTAATGTGGATCTACCACTGTGGGTAAGTTCAGCCATGTGGTACTAAAGTCCTCTCACACTCCCTCATTAATACCACCATCAGCAGAACTGGACAGTTTTATTTGTACTCTTTATCTGACTTCTCCCTCAGATCAGGTTTTCCACCAACTTATTGGGATGATAGGAAAGAACAGCACGTGAGAAGCTCTGAGGAGCACCCGGCAGGGATACAGAAGGAGAAGTCATAGCAGTGGTGGCAACAGTGCAGCAGGGTGCATGGGTGCAGGAGAGAAAGAGGTGGAGGGCAAAAAGCCAAGGGTAAAACCTCCCGCAGCAGGGAAGGGGCTGAAGCAGGACTCCAAACAGGTAGTCAGCTTGTGAGAACAAACAAATTCGGGGATGCGGTAGAAGTGACAGAATGCTCCTGCACAAAAGATTAACACAAAGTTTGACATCATAAGGCAAATGCAAAACGACACGATGATAGGTGTATTTTTGTAGGCTGGATGAAAGGTAGCAAAAATATCAAGCCCTTTGGGAGAATAAAATAGAATCCCTTATTGCTCATAAAAATGAAATGTCACCCACAGAAAAATGGCCCATGCTTTATTAAGCGCAGGGAATTCAGCGGGCACAGACTCCAGTCCTGGTCTGCAGTGGGTCAGTTATGCTTTGCTATGTGCAAACTCGCTCTCTGAGCATTGGGAGCTGCTTAGAAAGACCACAGCCCCCTTCTCCCAACCACCCCAACCAACCCTAAGACCTCCTTTGCTTCATCCTGGCATGTGAGCTACAAGAAATATATCCATGTTACATGCATCAAGGATTGCTTTGCGCTGTGTAGCTATCAAACCTTTTCTCTGTTCCTGTCTATTCCTGAAGGAGCGTGAAACAGTCTATGCCTATATTTCCAGCTTTCCTATACTTCCAGATTTGTTAAACTCTCTTATTTCTAAAAAATCGCCATACTTGACAAAGTATGATCTGTCACGTTCAGCACATCAAACACCACAATCCAAAAGGTCCTGGATGTCGTCACAGCCACCCAGACAAGGCACAAGCCCAACTCACACAAGGAGGGCATAACTAGCATGGAGATACTGCCTTCATGTCCTCACTGGACCAAGCCGCACCCTGTGGTTGAACATCCGTCCAGCAGCCGTTCCCAGTCACTAACAAAACATTGCTGAGCCGCCAGGCTCAGTTTTATCGCGCGGGCAAGGCGGGTATTGCTAGCACACGGCAAGAAGCAGCACGTAAAGTTAGCACGGAAAGCAAATATTAACCACCTCACCTGAATCCAGCAACTCTTCCAGACCGAGCTCTTATCAAACACCCGCCATCGCTCCCGCTCTGGAGAACTTGCTTTGCAGCTGCTTACAGACCGACTAAAATGAGGACATCTATTCCGCTTTTCATTGATTCTCTATGTATTAACGTGCCAAAGCAGCCAGCATAGCGTTCGCTCGCACGAACTGTGGGGCAGGATCACAGTACGAGGCGGGTTCCCTGGCGCACACCCCGCTCTGCCTGAGCTACTGACCACGTAGCTGGTTTGGAGGCAGCCTCAGTCTGCCTTATTTCATACCCAAATTAAAAAAAAAAAAAAAGTCTCCCTGTGAATCAATACACCACGCTGCGCCTACCAATACCTCTCCGAACTGTGCTGCAGCAGCCAGTCCGTTTAAATCCAGGCCACACAGCCCACAGCTCTTGTTACACGTGTGTTGCTGGCACAGGGATGGACAGTTGTTTTTCAGTTTTCAGGCTGAGTGGGTCTTTCCCTCCCAGCTCCCCTGACGCTGCTGCTTGGAGGCTCCAGTGATTTAATTACGCTCTCAAATTCTTCTATCTATCATGTGGTTAATTAATACGGATTTTTATTATTATGAGGATGAATGGATTCTTTGTGAGGCCTTTTTGTAGGACTCCAAGCGACCTTGGTTTTATCCTGTCCTAGTTTTCAAAATGTAACTGACTCAGAATTTAAAAAAAATAAAATTTTAAAAAAAAGCTGATAAAGTTTCCTTCACTTCGGATAAAAATTCACCAAGCCGGAAAGTGGATATGAGGGAATATAATAAGAACCTCCTAATCTGAAAATACCTGAAATGCGCTACATTTCATCCCGTTTTTCAAAATCAATCTTTAGATTAACTTCTTTAGTGGAGAATAGCAGATAGGATGAGCACGTCCCATAGGCTGGCTGAAAATCAATAGACACTGCTGGACAATCATGGTTTTAACCAGTAATGAGCAATCAGCATGTAGGAAAAAATAGACTAATCATTATGACCTAAAGCACGGGGACACGATGCCAGTTGTAGCAGGGACTGCAGTAGCCTACTGAGGTTTTGATCATTCATTAACAGGAATACAGAAAAGCTAGAGTTGAAATTACTCTCCTTTTTAACCCTTAGCAATAATTTTAAATCAATGAGCACAGGTCTGTCTGTCATCTCCCCAGCTCTTTTTCAACAGAAGGAATTACCTCCAGTACATGAAGATAGGAGGGTAACTGGGAGGTCTCCTTCAAAAGAGCACTCGCAGTATGACCTGAAACACCAAGTAGGTACCTGCGGCAAATTATAGGAACTGTCAGAGGACCCTTATGGATCTGCTGACCGAGGGACAGGGTGAGGAATTCATCAGTTAGCCCTTTATAGTCCCTTCCCTTCCACCCATTAGCATCGTTTTCATTTACAGCAGACAGGAAAGTAGGGATATTTCCAGTATTTATGTTCAGCAATTAAAAATAAACACAGTATTTTTGTCAAGAATCAGAAGTTTTTCCAAAACTCAATGGAGGCGATGAAAAAATTGCTACAGCGATGGATCTTGGCAGTTCCAAAAGCTGCATGAAAATTAACGGGTTATCTA